CTCCTCTCCCCACACAAGTCGACAGGCTGAGGGGGAAAGGGCCCGACGTTTGAAAGACGCGGCGAATCTGCAATCACTTCGCGTAGAACTGCTACCACGATATGTCCTATCCACATGCTTACCATACTTTTAATGAATAAATAATGATAATAATATATTATTATATCAATTATAAGAATAATAAATGAACTGCCTCTCAGTGCACAGAATCTGCATTGCAATAAAAAACAACGAATGAACGATATTTTTGCTAATCTCAGAAGGCAAATTTTTTTTGCGTCAATGAAGAAAACACATGTACCACACTTGACTGCTACACGCTAGTGTGTATGAAATAAATATCCGTGTATGCAGTTCACAAGCACGTGTGCCACACAGCTAATACCTGAAAACATTTCTTTGCATGTAGTTTTATGTAATACATTGCTGCTTTCCGGAGGGCTGTAGCTGTATGCATGATGCAGGGCCCATATTGACGAACGCATCTTGCAGAAATATACCCGCAATAAAACGGCAGTACACACACACACACACACACACACACACACACACACACACACACACACACACACACACACGTTTTGTGCGTTCTGTTCCTGATGTTGATGTAGCTAGGTGTCAACATTCATCATCAGCTATATTCTTCATTGAGAGTGATAAATACCAGGTCAATTAAACATGTAGTCACTGCGGTTCAGTTGAACGTTTCTTAACGCATATCAATTAAATATGTAGTGACCGCGGTTCAGTTGAACATTTCTCAACGCATGTCAATTAAAACTGTAAAGAGTGAGAGTGAATTGTCTTTTTCGTAACTCGTGTCAAAGAAATTTTCAATAAGTGCACTCATAAAAAAATGCTGTTTAATTGACAATCTATTGAGTCGAAAAGGCCTCGGTACGTGGTCAATTGAAACTCAAAGTCCATTTTCGTTAGAGATGGATGTCCGAACTCAACTTACCAAGAGTTGTTTTTTCTCCACAAACGCAATATCTATTGATGCCAGACAAAGGAAAACTGAACACTTTTATTGAGTCCCTGGAAGCATCTTGCAGACCTTGTGAAGCGTCTGCAAAATACAAAAACGTAAGAATGTATGCATCGAGTGCGACCCTCATGACTAAACAACTCGCCGCTAAAGGAGCATCATATCTTACGTACATTGATCTGGCTACTGGCATTGCTTCAAACCTTTTTTTTTAACAGGGCAACAGCTGTCACTTAGGAAACTCAGATTTATTTTTCAGTGGCTGTGAAGATTGAATTAGGCTGGAGAGATTGCATATACCCTCAATCTAAAGCCGAGGCATTCTTTGAATATTACAGTACCACTAAGAGACCCTTCAGGTGGCTTGCTTAAGGGACTTGCTCTAAGCGAAAGCTTTAACCTCCCTGATTTTGCTATCTCTCATGACCTAAATATCAATTTTAAGGTCGACTGCGCTTTTACCCGCGTGATCATCCTCTTTGTTAGTGAACACAAAAAATAAAGAGCTTTTCAAGATATATGTATCCCCGGAGCATTTGAGGAATCGCAGAAAGACAAAAGATACGTAGAAATACTGCTTAATAAAGGTGTTTTGTAATTATAGTAATGGACATACTACTTGACCAAAAGCGAAGAGAAAGACTGCAATTAGCGATCGTTACCCACGCTGCTAGTTAGCCCTTGTGGCAACAAAAACCTGTGTCACGTTGGCACGACTCCTGCCATTAAAACACCCTCGTTTGAGTTTACACACCTCCTCGACCCTTTTACGAGTCTGTTACACAAACATAAATTCACCAAGCGAATCATTACACTATTGTGGAAAGAAATTAGCAAATTAAAATAATCATCCAGTTACAAATGCAAATAACTAGACCTTCCAAATAGGCGTAAACCATCAGATACAAAAAAAAAAAAACGTCCGTGTCATGTATAAGCGATTCTCTTCTTCGTTATGCGGCCACTCCGTCTTAATCTAAGATATGCGAATGAAATTGTTTTGTGTCGCGGATGAAATTTCGAAATATTTTATACAGCGTATCGAAAGTTCCGGTCACGCCTACTACAAGAATAGAAACAGTACTATTACACGGCGAAGGCATGCGGACATTTTCGAAGTGATTTTCGTCCAAGACAAGATCGGTTCACAGGAAAATCATTCTTATAAATGTAGCGCACTTTTCGTGTCTGACAAACAAGGCTATCAATACCAAAAATCTTTGAAACGACTTTTAGGAAGGCACACGAACAGATGTACGATGTTGTGATGCATTCATTTTACGACCTGATGTTTCGTTGCTTCCTTTCATGGATGGCAAACGTTTTGGATGACTGGATGCAACATTAAGTTTCTTTTGAACATTGTCTCCACTTAAGAGCGAACACTTTTAAGATCTAACGCAGTTTTCTATCAACGTACCTTTCAACGGCTTTCTTCAACGTGCCTCTAATGAGTAATATGGCTGATCTCATGATATGCGCTGGCGCATTAGGCACGGTTTTCAATTATTTTCTCAGTGGCGCGCACGGTGGAATTGCCTGGCTTGGTTTGAACGCTGTTTTAGGAACGTAGGAAACAGAATTCATTCACACTTATAACTAGCTGGCATATAGATATCACCGACTGTGTCATGAAAAAAGCCAATTAAAAGAAACCCTTCCGGCTAGACTTTTTTTTGCCATATACGAACGCCACAATAAAAAAAATGAGTTAGCCCTATCCGTTTCCGATTAGTCTTGGACGCCTAGCTGACAATAAAGCTGGCGATAATATGTGTGACAGAAGGAGCTAGGTGCGAGAAAATTGCCACCTTAAGTGCTCACCTTGAGGACGGCTGAGCTTGAACACTGGACCCACTCTTCCATCTAAGGAGCAAAGTAAATGAAATGGCACCAGCAATGTCAGATCTTCAATCAACTTTTTCCGTAACCTTTGTTGCCAAGAGTTGCTAGGAAAATATGAAGCGCCGCATTTCTGCAATATTTTACGGAATCCCTACCTGATATGAGCTAAACTAGCTGTATCTTCACAATAGCGACACGCATCGTCAGGGTACGCGCCCGGAAATATTTTCTGCGAGAATGCCGGGCATGGGTATGTGCCCGTCTGAAGTTGCCTGAATGCGACCTCTTCTGCTTACATGCTCTAGGGTTGCCCCCTGGCACCGGAAGCCAGGATCAAGAAGGAAGAGTGGGACCGAGCTCTACGCAGCTCGGACCTTGAAGCACAGCTCTGGGCTGTCCATTGAGTTCGTGACGCAGAGGAGGGGCAAGGTCTCTCCGTTCCAACGTGGGAGCGGCCCGCTGCGCGCTAAACGCACGCACCGAAGGACCATAATAAAATTATTCATCCATTTATCTATCCTACTTAATCTCCTTCGGCGTAGCAAGTTGGTAGTTGTTTAGTCAATATTTTTATTCGCAAATTCTGAGACCTTCGCCATACATTAAATCTAGGTGCCTCAATGAGATTCTAGCTGGGCGTGAGTATAACGGAAGAGGACAGAAAAACGCCAGCGGTCGCAGAGCATCAGAGACGTGATTCGACGGGAAGCCTATTTTTCTCGTGCACTTTAGTTCATTTCTATTTCTGTCGTAATGACGGCTCTGCAGCTCAAAGATACTAATAGTCTTGTCCACATGATTTTTTTCGCTTCACTGTTTGCTTGATTCGCTGAGTTTGCGTCTTGCAACAACAAAAAAAGACAAGAACAGCCATTAAGAAATTTCACTGCTTTTGTACTTTCTGAGCACCTCAAATGTAAACTTTTTTTCTGCACTGAGGTAGACAGGATGAATGGGAATAACTTTAAGTTCCTTATAGGGTGATGCCACCTGCCTGGATAATTCAATGTCGGGACAGTAAGGTTATGCCTCCTAGCCTGGTTATGGGCTTACAGTTTTACCAAGACTATGGAAATATGGTCGTGTGACTTGATAATCCCTGCAAATAATTCCCAGAAAATGCCAAGAATGCTGCAAGGGTACTTGTAGAGGTGCTTTCATAACGTGGCCAGAGTGTATAGAACTCTTGATGCTGCCTTAATGTCTTTTTTCTCAGTGACATAGGTCAACAAAATTTGTGGAGCTCATTCGGAATCACTCATGAAATATATTTTTAGCTTTGAACTCACTCGGACTCAGACTCACGAAAAGTTTCTTCAGCCGGACTCACCCGGACCCAAACTCACAAAAATTTTGCTACCCACCCGGACCCACTCAGACTCAGGCTCACGGCTCAGACTCATGGCTTGATCTGAGTCTGAGTGAGTTCGAGTGATTCGGCTCATGAGGCCGTCAGCCTAGAATTTGCTTCTTCGACCGCGGTCTCAATGTCCTTTAACACCAATATATCATGTAGTCGGTGCTTTTCTTGGTGTTGTTTTACGTAGTGTCTTCTAAAACAGGTTCTGAGTGTTTCAAAATCAGTAAGATCATTTTGTTTGAAGAGATGACAGCATAAGATGCAATAATGAAGAAATTCCCTGCAAGAGTTGATGGGGGGAGGTCAAGATACCCTCTATGTAATTCACGCCTCTAATTAATAAATAAAACGATGCATGAACGACACTGCATTTGAATACGTGTGTGACCTACACCATGGGTAAGGCTGATAGTAATGCTCAAGATGAGTAGATAAGACCTTAGGTCGGCAAAAGAAAGTGAGCTCACTCAGAATCAGTAAAAAAAATATGTTTTGTGATTTGGACTCACTATAGGACTCAGGCTCAACAAAACTTTTGCTGAACCAAACTCACTCAGACTCGCACTCACCAAAATTTCCTTCAACCGTACTCACTCGAATTCACACTCACGAAAATATTACTCACCCGGACTCACTCAAACTGGGACTCAGGACTCGATCATAGTCTGAGTCTGAGTCCGAGTGAGTCGACTCGTGAGTGAGTTCATCAACCTATGCTTATTAGGGTATCCAGTACTATTGAAATCATATGCGTGTCATTTCTCTCATCAATGGGCAGCACTTTCACTAACAAATGGTCACTGATTCTCAAGCTACAACAAAAACAACTGGCATCACACTTGCCTTCTTGAAGCAGCTGCAACCGACAAGGTCTGTGATAAGCTCATGAAAAAATTCGGAAACGTGACCGATGCGACTGGTGATGTACTTCTCGATCCCTTCCTTGTTGCAGACGCCGTTCACCGACTGCGAATGTAGGGAGTAGTTAAACATGTCAGCATACTGGTTTTAAACTTAGCAGTAACCGAAGACACTACTGCTGAGACTAGCTAGAACTTTTGTAGAGCGCTAAGATACAGCGGCAGGAGAGCCCGGGAAGCAATGGGGTCGGAGTGTCTTTGCTTTTGTATAAAGTGCGGTACTATAGTTCGTTATAGTCCAAAAGCGTAATTACAATGTTGCCTTTAACGTTGTCGAATATATTTCCTTCACTAGGCACGTTAGGTAGCAAGGAATTGATTTAACATTATAGTGCACCCATTGGTAGACCCTAATACTGTTATGTTTTTGGGACGCATTTTGTGTGATGTTGAAAATGCCTAATGAAACAGCTCACAGTTGTCACGCAGAAAATGAGTTCCCAGCCAGCCCCAACTTCATCTGCTAGCACATGACGCGCATTGAATATTTAATAATAACCTCCTTATTGTACGGCCTGGCTCATTAGAGATTAGTTTTGACATGTAGATAAGAAAAGTACTATTTTGCTACAGGTAGTTTGCTAATGCCTTTAGCTGGACTAGTTGCTAGTCACTGAATGCTTCTGTAATACACGCCAACACGCACAAAAACTACACTGATGAATGCAAGAGAACCACTAAGCTTCAACTCTTCCCTTCTAATGAGTTGATTGATTGATTGATATGTGAGGTTAACGTCCCAAAACCACCATAAAATTATGAGAGACGCCGTGGTGGAGGGCTTCGAAAATTTCGACCACCTGGGGTTCTTTATCTTGCACCCAAATCTGAGCACACGGGCCTACAACATTTCCGCCTCCATCGAAAACGCAGCCGCTGCAGCCGGGATTCAATCCCGCGACCTGCGGGTCAGCAGCCGAGTACCTTAGTCACTAGACCACCGTGGCTGGGGCTTCGAATGAGTTGAACTCTGGCGGTTGTCCTGTGTTTAATTTGACTGTGTTCCTTTTGTATGTTCGCCAACATAACCTCATTCAGTTCAATTAACACATGATCACTTGACGCATCCAACTGTTTCTCTGTAAACTGAAACATCGTGAATACCGACTCATACATCACATACATACCGACTGCATACATCACAACCTGAAGTCGCCCAATCCCTCTTTATTTCTATTAGTAAACTTTACGAATAGTTTACCGTTTGTAGGGACTCTTGTTAAGTCGATCACGAACCTTATGAAGCGCGATTGCCACAGTAATATCAAAATTTAAAAAACAAGAAAAAAGTTTATGTTGTCTTCGCAATTACGAACAGTGTGCTCAGGCAGTTTATCTTTTCCATCTCTATCATTTAGGGATGAAAAAAAGCCGTCACCGTAAAAAAAGTATAACGGCCAAGTTACATGCAGTGTCACGACAACCACGAGACAAATATTTGCGCCAAAGGCAGCAAAAGCAATCACTGACATCGAGAACATCAGGTTCGATGACTTCAGCAGGCCTTCGTTGCGCAAGGTTGTGTCGATTTTATGGTAATTTTAGTAGAAGCACGACTACACCACCCTACCACTTCCATTGAATTCGCTATCTCCGCAAGAAAGCTAAAAAGCTTTCCGCGCCTTGTTATATCTGGCGAGTTGGTGTCTTGGGAACCTGGCCTCAGATTATTAGTCGAAAAACTGCACAATCTCTTGCGTATGAATCTCGAAGGCGATAGATCATGACTCCCAACCGTAGATACACATCATCATGTTTGTGATGCGGGCGAATGTTCTGGCCGCAGAACATTCTCTTTCCGGTCCATCCTCACACGTGGAGTAGTAGCAAACCACACAGTCTGATTAGCCTCGTTGGATTTCTTTTTTTTTGCTATTTTATTCTTTCTCGTTTTATCATTCAAGGCTAAGTTGGCATATTGTGGATGCCGTGAGAAAATCTCGCACCTAGACGGCCTTGTACAGTCGAACGAAATAGTAGTATTGTTAATGTCAGAACATTTGGCATTTGTCACTACTCGCAGTTAACGAGTCCGCCTCGTTGGATCAGTGGCCAGGGTATTCGGCTTCTGGCCCAAAGGTCATGAGTTCTATCCCAGCTGTGACAGTCGCATTTCAATTATGCGAAATGGTGGAGGCCCCTGTGCTGTGGGATATCAGTGCACGTTAATGAACAGAGTAGGTTGTCAATATCTTCAGAGGCCTCCACTACGGCGTCGCTCATAATCGTATCGTAGTTTTGGGACCTAAAGTTCCACATATTATTATTATTATTATTATTATTATTATTATTATTATTATTATTATTATTATTATTATTATTATTATTATTATTATTATTATTATTATTATTATTATTATTATTACTACTACTACTATTACTGGCTGTTAGCGATAGGAATGGCCTACTTTGGCACATTGCGAATACTGTTGGCACTTTAGCTTCATATGAGCGAATTGCGTTGATTAGCTTGTAGTTGAACTTTTGTACTTACGATTCCCGTCGTATCGGTAAAGCAGGCTCGCATCTGTTGAAAAGATAAAAGATATAATATCGCCAGTTTTAGATGAGGGCTGTGAACAATACAGCAAAGTAGCCGTCATTTATACGTGCGCTCAGTTTAGCCGAATGAGTGTTAAGCCTGTGAACACGGTCTAGCATGCTAATGTTATAAAGCAGTTAATTTGGCTTGTTGTCAGCAAACGCATTTATAAGTAGTGATTGTATTTAGAAATCTATGAGAATTCTTGTTAGCACTGATGACACAGCAATCGAAAAAAAAACATCTAGCATGAAATAAACTGTAGGTTGCCTTTAGCTGCTTTATGTGTAATGTAATACTTTAGGTATATCTTACTTTTATTTCACAAAAATTCCAGTAAATACGAATAAAACTTTACTACAGTGCCGTTTTTGTGTTGTCTGGTGGTTAAAAACACACAGTGAGCCATCACAAGCTCAAAAAGACGTTGCCCAGACGATTGCTCTTCCACCATGGATGCGTCAGGGACCCTTTTTGGACAGGTCGAAGTCGCCATTAGTATGAGAAACCATGAAAAAATGGGGGGGGGGGGGGGGGGAGGGATTTGGTACCTTAATAAAGGAAATACAGAAGAAGTGACAGATATCCAGTGGTTTTTTGGCTGATGTAGCAGGCTCAGTTTTTCCTTATGATGTAGGAAGCAGCCGAGATGATCTTCTTCACAATGTCGCTTCGGTTGTTGCTACACGACATGAGAGTGAGAAAAGGTGAAAACTAGCCTCCGAAATCTTTTTTTTCACCAGCTATGGCGTCACAGCACTGCTCAGACGGTTTCCTGGAACCCCATTTGAGAACCACTGGGCAAGACGTTCGAGCGTAAGCTATGATAAACTTGATTTATATGACTAATCTGGTGGCTGACCGATTCGAAAGCCAGAACAAAGGATTCATGCGTGATTTGTATGACTAAACGCGTGGCTGTCCGATTCAAAGACAAAAACAAAGGAATAATGGATGATTTGTATGACTAAACGCGTGGCTGACCGATTCAAAGACGAAAACAAAGGATTCGTGGATGACTTGTACGACTAAACACGGGGTTGACCGATTCGAAGGCCAAAACAAAAGATTCATGGGTGATTTGTATGGCTAAACGCGTGGCTGACCAATTCAAAGACAAAAACAAAGGATTCATGGGTGACTTGTACGACTAAACACGGGGTTGACCGATTCGATCGAAGGCCAAAACAAAGGATTCATGGGTGATTTGTATGACTAAACACGTGACTGTTTCGATTCGAAGACCAAAACAAAGAAATAATAGGTGATTTGCATGGCTAAACACGTGACTAGCCGATTCAAAGGCCGAAACAATAGATTAATGGGTGATTTGTATAACTAAACACGTGGTTGACCGATTCAAAGGACAAAACGAAGGATTCATAGGTGATTTGTATGACTAAACACGTGGCTGTTCCGATTCGAAGACCAAAACAAAGAAATAATAGGTGACTTGCATGGCTAAACACGTGACTGGCCGATTCAATGGACAAAACAGTATTTATAGGTGATTTGTGTGACTAAACACGAGACTGACCGATCAAAAGGCCGAAACAAAGGATTTATGGATGATTTGTGTGACTAAACACATGGTTGAATGATTAAAAGGACAAAACAAAGGATTCATAGGTGTTTTGTATGACTAAACACGTGGCTGACTGATTCAAAGGCCGAAACAAGAGATTAATGGGTGGTTTGTATGACTAAAGACAGGTTTGACCGATTCAAAGGACGAAACAAAGGATTGATAGGTGGTTTGTATGACTAAACACGTGGCTGACCGCTTCAAAGGCCGAAACAAAAGATTAATGGTTCATTTGCATGACTAAACACGTGGTTGACCGATTCGAAGGACAAAATGAAGGATTCATAGGTGATTTGTATGACTAAACACGTGGCTAACCGATTCAAAGGCCAAAACAAAAAGAATAATGGGCGATTTGTATGACTAAACACATGGTTGACCGATTCAAAGGACAAAACAAAGGATTCATAGGTGATTTTTATGACTAAACGCGTGGCTGACCGGTTCAAAGGCCGAAACAAAAGATTAATAGGTGATTTGTATGATTAAACACGTGGTTGACCGATTCAAAAAACAAACCGAAGGATTCATAGGTGATTTGTGTGACTAAACACGTGGATGACCGATTCAAAGGCCGAAACAAAAGATTAATGGGTGATATGTATGATAAACGCGTGGTTGAACGATTCAAAGGACAAAACAAAGGATTCATAGGTTATTTGTGTGAATAAACGCGTGGCTGACTGTTAAAAGGTGCAAACGAAAGATTCCTCGGTGATTTGCATAGCTAAACACGTGACTGAGTGCTTCAAAAGCCGAAACAAAGGATTCATGGGTGATTTATATGACTAAATGCGGGGCTAACTAATTAAAAGAACAAAACAATGAATTCTGGGGCTAGAACCTTGACCTAATTGCTTTGCCCACCAAACTGTGACCAATGGAAACTATCTTTAGTCTTGAGGTATTTCAATTAGAAGGGCTTTTAAACGCTTCCCTGAGCATGTCTGATGTGGGCTTGCAGTTAAAGAAACGTGTGCGTCCAGGGCTAAAAACCGCTTCGCAACAACAAACGTAAGCAAGCGTCGCCATCCAACATTCCATCATAAGCACAAATTGTTTAAAGGACAGTAACCTGGGTTTGTTGACAGGATCTCTCCTATAAAAATAAATCATGACCTAGCATAAAAACTAAATCATCTTATTGACGAAAAGAAATTGAATCGATAGCGCAGTTGATATTTGTCATAAAATTATAAAAGTGCAAAAGCACGACGTGGGTCCAAGCCAACAGTGCACAAATATTTATCGGATTTTACAAGTCATGCATAACAGAGGCTTACCCAAAAAAGTAAGCGCCGACGTACGTTGCAAGAAATTGAAAACGTACGACTTCTGTGGTGTTGGCTTACCGTGTGTATATCTTTGTTGCCCTTGGCGTAGCAGTCGTCAATAACGGCTGTGTCCTGCGATATAATGTAAGATGGGAAGACGTCATTCGATCACCCGTGCCGGACCATTTTCTTCCCTTTAGCGACAGAAACCACAGAAGAATGCAGACGGCTGCTTCATGCTTGACACGTTTTAAAATGTATGGCTCAGTTGTTTTTTTTTTCTACTTTTATATCGCATTTTATTCCGTAAACCGTGCGTTGAACGAAGTGAAATGGTTGGATTGCACAAAGTGCGCATGATGTATAGTAAAACAGGCATTACGTATTGGAAGAAATAAATGTTAGAATCACCGCTGTTTTGTGCTCCTGAGAACCCAACCTAATGTATCAAGGTAAGAAGAAGTGTCTAAGAATTAGGTGAGATTCCTTTGTTCCTAGTTTCCTTTCCTTCATGCCACCACTTGTGAGCCAATTTTAGCCTGTCAAAGGAGAGCACAGCCCTTTATCAGTGAAGAAGAAAAAGAAAGAAGTAGAAATAGGTAACGTAGACGAATTTAGACGGACAATAGTATGCGGGTGATTAACGTGAGAAGTTAAATTAGGGGCTGTATTGATAGCTTAAAGGGGAACTCTAGTGCATTTTGCACCATATTGAGATAAAGCAATTTGCAAACAGTATTAACAATTTTATAACAGCGGGGGTGGTTCATTTTGCTGATAGACTCATGCCCTAATTTTACATAGGCGATGAACTGCTATGAACGCGTGATGACGTCACAAAAGAAGTAATACCCCCCCCCCCCCCCCCCGGCTGTCCAGGGAGTAAATATAGCGCACGTGCTTCTTCTCTCACGTGAGAAGCAAGCTGGCGAAGTCTTTCGACCTAAAATCAAGCTGAGACATCCCGTCGGAACTTATCAGTGACAAGTTCAGCGATGATGGCAGCTACTGTCTGCGCTCGGAAGCTGCGTGCTTTAATTTTGACCCGCTGGCGCGTCAAGTTGCTGACGTGCCCTGCATCGATCTCCTCGTTGCTCAGTGTTGTGCGTGCTAACTGTAACACGACTAACACGCTACGCAGCTGACAAAACCAAACTGTGCTTGCGTCGTGGTCGCATCGTAGAAGACAGCATGTGCTGCATCCGTCTGATGCCCGAGACGGGGTCAGAAACAGTAGGCGCGTTACATTCCGTACAGAGGGTGGCCCGTGTTTAACGGCGTGATTCCGGAATCGGCTGCCAAATTTTAAAAATCATTTTATAAAAGACTAAGTGACTAACGGTTGTATAACATGACACGTGTCATTACGGTTACAAAAAAAATATACGTTGAAAGTTCTATTAAAATCGGTGAACACAGTAAAATGACCGGACGTCCCCTTTAAGTGCTTGAAATACAATTAAACTGCGATTGTATCATAGGCTAATACCAACAGTGCATGTGTATTGGCATGCAGCGCTTTCAAGTGCTCAGTTTTCTTTACTTATTTTAGTTCCGGCCAGTTGACGTTTAGGCCGAATATTCTTATAAGTCGTATTGCGATGCTATCGTTTTCCTCCTTTGCGTAGGTGAAAGTTTCGAGCAATAAGCAATGATGAAGTACCCGTGCACCGATAGGCATGCGCCCGGCACGAGAGGCAGAGGGGGTGGCCACCACCGCCTGGTCACCCAGGCCCCAAGGGGGGGGGGGGGCGCAAAAGTCAAACTTATACAATTGCCTAATAGGGTGGGGAGCGCTACGACAAACCATTACCCCTACCCCTTAAGAGGAACCCTTCGCAAGCTTATGCGTGCACTCCTCACTCTAGGCTGACTATGGCTACTTCTTTTAATTGAATAATTACTGGGAACTAAAGTCACACCTTCTTATTCATAGCAATGTTCTATTGCGCTTTTGTTGTACTCACGAGTGTAAGCGTAAAGAAGAGTTAGTCTGCTATAGCTCATTGTAAGCACAATCTTCTACCATAGCGTCGTAACGATCACCCTGAAGAAAGATGTTTGTGTCTTCACATCAGCAGTGTCAGCATTAGCATTACCTATGCGTTAACTTCTTCCTATGGGGCGAAATTCGCCAAATCTTTCATATCACGCAAAGTAAATCATTCCCACAAAGTGGACACGACTTCATCTCAGAGAGAATTTACTTCATGGTCTTTCATTCCCCGTATATCTCTTCCAGGATCAGCAGTCGGCATACGGGAGAATGCCTCTTCCCGCAGAAAGTTAGGCAACATTGTATCAGGCCAGTAAAAAGGAGTTCATTTGTTCCGTACTATGTCCCCGGTTTTGTTAGTAAATACATACCGCAGTATATATCACTGTATAAGATTTTTTTTCCAAATTGCAATTTTTATGAGCAGCCGCCTCTGCAGTACCTTTGATTTTGAAAGCATAAATAAATGAACAATAAGATAAGTCGAAGTAGCTGAAGCAGTTTTTCTTTATCGACAACTAGAAGATGGATAATGATTCTGAAATAATGTATAACGGGTTTTACCAAAATGGCTTAATCAATTGGTTTATTCAGTTACCACTTGGTCTCAAATACGATGCAAATTCAAGTAGCACATTATATGCGCAGAGTTCTCTTCCTACCTTGGAATCGACGTTCAACATCCTCAGAAGAGAAAGCACAAGCCGGTTCATTTGCGGTTTGTCCAAGCCGCTGTCGACGGCGTCGTAGACCAGCTGAACACTGAAGTCTGCACACACAAAAAAAAAAAAATGCCAACGAAGTCGGGAACCAAAGGCTGTATCGTAGTCGTCTGATATCTTTTCACCCAATTAGAGAGGGCAATTCCATCCAGCTTCAGGATTCTAGTACAGTACAGGCTCCCTCGTCAATGTGCGATAGCGTTTGAGTGAACAAAATTCAGTGTCCATTTGAAAAAGTGCTAACAGCACATACAATTAATAGAACCCTGTTGTCTCCTCCTTTCCTAATCTATATATGCGATGTTAACACTTTCTGAAACGAATCCTCACAAACTTTCTCAAGCGTCAACACATAAAACTTCAACTACGACAACCCGAAGGCGAAAGGCACTTTCATCTTCATTTTCATTTTCTCCTTCTCATTCTACTGTACCTCTATAGGGCTAGCTCACCTCAGCTAGATGACCACAGTAATGAAAGACAGCGCCCTGAAAAGACTGGGACTGAGCTGATAGGGGAAAAGGGAATAAACAGTACACCTAGTATCATTGCCGTATGCAAGAAGTCCTTTCCTAAAACACACAAATCGGTCATCCCTGAAATATATTCGGAACAAGCATGGAAGCAACATGGGTACTGATTTCCAGAACGACTAAAATTAGGAGACTTTCTCTGAAATGCAGTTCTCCGCACAGGTTTACACCCGAGTGGACCTCATTAGGTGCCTCACGCTTATAATGCTTGAGACCACAGTCACGTCTTTGTAGCTGATGAGCGTGCTTCTTAAGGAAATAAATGTCAGGGGAAAACAATCGTGTTAAGGCAGGGCCGCTAGGTAAACGTTCTAGGGCCGCATGCTGGCCGTGCGCCACGCGTTTGAAAACTCACTTCAGGGCTAGTGCTGAAGAAACATTCTCGGAAGAAAAAGAAACCCCAGCTTTCTGTTTTTTTTTTCGAGGGCGTAGCAACATGTCACTGCCTTCCGAGCACATCTTACCCAGGTCATTTTCCCCAGAAGCAACGACGATAGCCAAAGCCAACAGAACCAACTGCGTTACTCGAACCATCGTAACTGAGCGCGGAGCGCCTTTCCTGCGTACCTCGCTCGAGCTCGACTTGTAGTGCACGGTCATAAATCGCGGGTGCCTTCATGGAGGCTAGACGTCGCGTGTTTGTACAGCGGCATACACGACACGTATGCGATGAGTGCCGGCTTACAACTCATACAGCGAACGTCGGGGCGAGCATGGGAATACAGCGGTCGGATAGGACTGTTCACTTTAGGTTGCAGAAAAATCCTACGCAGTTTGCTATTTTGTTTTGGCTTTCTTGTCCCTCTCGAAATCTTCACTGATTCCTTCGTTTTCAATGTACCCAAAACATTATTAGTTTAAAAGATATCTGAAAGCCGACTAATTCAATTCCGGCTTGACTTTGCTAAGCTGCCATTCACTAAACTTCGCCCGAATGGTCGTGAAAGTTGTCGAAGTGTCTGTGCAGCGGTGGGCACGCCTGCTTTTCGTTTTCGCAGCATTTCCTTGCTGCTAACGCATTTCAAGCATTTAGGATATGCTATTACTTGCGAAAAAGGCATCAATTTGGTTTGAACAGCGTGTTTTTGTCCGGGACTACGGTTTTAAAAAGTCTCAACTCTAAGTACGCCCTCACGTGCAAACGCCATACAGCGTCAGTCCATGCACACCGGTGCACACGTGCCCGTCGTTGCCTCACGCAGGAGGCGTTGTTTGACCTTCAGCCTTCTCTCAAGGTAGGGGTGTCACGGCAACAGCTTAAAAGCTGTCACAGCCCTGTAATGACCTCAGAGGAAGGGGCGGGTCTCTATTTTTGTGTCTGTAACATTCATGGCGTACATTATAAAACTACAGGACTGGGTAGAGCAGCAGATGTCGGTTATAATAACATATTTGGTTCTACGTCCAAAAACCATGATTTGATTATGAGAGAGAGAGAGAGAGACACCGTAGTGGAGCACTCCGGAAAGTTTGACTGTCTGGTGTGCACTGGCAACGCACAGTACACGCAGATCTATACGACTTCACCTCCGCCGAAATGCGACCACCACGGTTGGGATCGGCTCCACGACTTTCAGCCTCCGAGCACACTTGCTGGTTCTCCACCACGGTGGACCAGATGGCGCCGATCAACTGGGGCATAAGTGGCTACGCGACGACGGGTCTGTGGGCGCGTGCTACGTAAGCATGTCACTGTATTCGAGCTTTTCCGCCGTTGTATTCAGTATAGGTGTCGGGTCGCATTTGAACGTGTCAATTTGGTTTCTGCCATACTAATACGGAAGAAGAAAAGTGCTTTTTTACAGAATGACGATCACGTATGCAGTAGTCTCCTGTTGTGTGACGTTTGCAAGATGCAATAAAATATCAAGCTTCATTTATTTTTATTTTACGCTTCTAGAAAGTCTACGTGAAGGAGAACTCGACTTTACACTTTGGCAGGTGTATTTTTGCGCTTAAACACGTTTCTGTGAAGCTTCCTGCAGTCACGAAGCGTGTGAAAGAAAACGCGAGAACCTCATCACGAACAAAAAGAAAGAGAGAGAGAGAGAGAGATAAAATTGTTTCTGTTCAATTTCTCCAGCCCTGCCAGAGGCTCATTCCTGATTTGGCATTCGTTTCAGCTTCAATATGGTAGTATGTCTCTACAGCAAGAGCTTCACACTGAAAGCATTTACACTCTTAGTGTGTTTTGCAGTAAGCTATCAAAAGGAAGCCAATATCGTGTTTGAAGAAGTGGATGTGGACGTTAATGCACGCTTTCGCGTGGTTGTGCTGACCGATGACAGCCGTCAGAAAAATGAAATTTCACCGGAGTTACGCTCGGCCCAAGTCCACGGACGCTTTAAAAGAGCGGATGAAGAGGACGGAGGCGGAGTCGAGGAACATCACGGCACCATCGGGCACGATGAAGCAGGCGGTCACACTGGGCACAGGGAGTTCTCCATTCAAGAGACACCCGTAGTGGTCACCTACGAATCTGACGCTGCGGAGACCGGGGTCCCAGAAATGGCCGTAACCTACGAAATGGACAGTGACATCGCAGAAGGAAGTGGTGTTGGCGGTGTTGGTGGTGGTGACAGTGGTGTGACGTCAATCAACCATGGCAGCAGGCGCTACCTGACACCGACGTCTGGCAGTGGCGGAAACGTTCGTCCAGGACGCATCGTGTATCGTGGTGGCGGCTTGCGACCGGGTTACGGCACGATAGGAACGTACTTAGGAACTGGCAGCCATCTTGCGTACGGCCTTCAACCGGCACTGGCGACGAGTGGTCTAGCATTGCAAGGTTCACCAGCAATGGGCATATACGGATCTAAGCTCGGACTGGGAGGCACAAGACTTGGTATGGGGGGGAGTGGAGTGAGTCTTTCAGGCACAGGTGCTGGTAGCGGATTAGGCTATGACTCACAACAACGCCTAGGCTATGGAATAATGCAGCAGAGAACGCCAGCTTTATCCACAATGGGCACTCGATTTATGGGATCACCAGTTCTTTACACCGGTGGTGCTAGAGCAGTTGGCTACGGAGGTGGTTTAGGCTTATCTCCCATGTACAAAGGCGGATACAGACTAAGTGGTGGTCAGCTAGGAACTATGGCCCTACGAAATGGCTATGGAGGTGCCCTTAGCAGTGCAAGGTTGGCCATGCCGACTGTAGGAGGCTATGGAATTCGTAATGGAATGCGTTTGAGTGGTGTGAGTGGGCTGGGAGGACTCCGAAGTGTCGGTGGTGGTTCAACAGGTCTTGGGAATGGTATGGGTGGCTCTTTGGTTACCTTAGGTAGTGGTGTCGGAAACAGACGCATTGGTCTAGGAAGTGCAGGAAGAGCAGGTGTTATGTCCCTTGGTAGGCTAAGAAGTGGCTCTCTCGGTATGAATATGGGTGGATCAAGAGGATCAATTGGCGGTGGTGGAATAAGAGGGGGGTCGATAGGTATCAGAAACGGTGAGCATGGCTCCGGCGGCTCTTTTGGCATGGGCGGTGCGTCCCTTGGAGGTGGAATGAGTGGATTGGGAGCTAGCAGAAGCATGGGAGGAAGCCTGTCCGGGGGATCTCATGGTGCATCTTTAGGGGCGAGTGGTGGTGGTCTGGGAGGTGGAGGAGGCCTTGGAATGGGTTTAGGAGGTGGGTCTGGTGGTGCGATCGGGGCCAAGAGTGGGCTCGGATCTGGTGGTCTCGGTGTTGGAATGAGAGGAGGCGGGGGTGGAGGGGCTCTGGGCGGTGGCCTTGGGGAAGGCTCGCTTGGTGGTAGCGCTGCACTTGGCTCTGGTGGAGCAGGACTCGGCTTGAAAGGTGGCTCGCTTCGTATGGGCGGGGCAGGCGGCTCTGGTGGCCATGGAGGTGGAATGGGTCAATTGGTAGCTAGCAGAAGTATGGGAGGAAGCCTGTCCGGGGGATCTCACGGTGCGTCCTTAGGGATGAGTGGTGGTGGTCTGGGAGGAGGAGGAGGAGGAGGCCTTGGAATGGGTTTAGGAGGTGGGTCTGGTGGTGCAATTGGGGCCAAGAGTGGGCTCGGATCTGGTGGTCTCGGTGTTGGAATGAGAGGAGGCGGGGGTGGAGGGGCTCTAGGCGGCGGCCTTGGGGGAGGCTCGCTTGGTGGTAGCGCTGCAATTGGCTCTGGTGGAGGAGGACTCGGCCTGAAAGGTGGCTCACTTCGTATGGGTGGAGGAGGCGGCTCTGGTGGCCTCGGGCTCGGAATGAAAGGTGGTTCAGGTGGATCGTTTGGCAGCGGACTTAAAGGCGGTTCGCTGGGGATAAGTGGTAGTGGAAACTCTGGTGGCCTGGGATTAGGCATCAAGGGTGGCTCAGGTGGGGGAATAGGTAGCGGGCTTAGTGGGGGCAGCATGGGATTGGGTGGAGGCACAGGTGGCCTCGGCCTGAAAGGTAGCGGTCTAAGCGCGAAGGGTGGAGGTATCGGCATGGGTGGTGGCTCAGGTATAGGGCTGAAAGGAGGATCAGGATTCGGGTTCAAAGGTGGGCCATCAGTCACCGGTGGAATAAAAGGGGGCTCCTTGGGTGCCAGTGGGGCCAGTGGCTTAGGAGGAGCTGCATCTGGTAGTCTCGGCGTCAAGGAAGGTGGCGGAATCGGGGGTGGTCTTGCCGCTGGTACCAGTGAAGGGCTTGGGGCGAAGGGCGGTGGTTTAGGAGTGAGTGGTACTTCAGGTGGTGTCAAAGGTGGGTTAGGCGTCGGTGGTAGTGCCGGCCACTAAGTGAGAATAACTCACCTAATTTTTCGGCCTGACTGAATGGACAGAAAGGTCGTTTTCGGTGAATAAAGTTTCTTATGCTAGAATTATTATTATGTGCTTACTTCAGCTGATTCAAGTTTCGGACATATCCTTATGTACGCAACCCGTGAATAGAAAGCGGAAGACACATTTCATGAATTTGGCTCAAGGTGTACTAAGCAGAGCCACCCCCACTCCATTTCATTTTGCATGCTCATGCGGAAGCCACAAAGTTAATCCAGGAATGGTGTAGGCAGGAAGGTAAGCGACAAAAAAGTAAATAACACCCCATTTACAGGAAAAGTACTCAGACAATACTAGGGAATTAGTGCTATGCCCTGTTTTCCGAAATATCTTTGTTTATCAAGCATGCTTCCACTCACTATGATACATCAACTCATTCGTAAGGCAGCCGTGAGGAGCATATATAGTTCCCAGAAATTTTTGTGAAGGCTTTAGTCACCTGATAATTTTACCTTGCAATATCAGGCGACAATTATGCACCTTCGAATTTCTTGTATGTGTTAGTTCGTGCACATGATTCTAGATGATACGTGTGCTGCTCAAGCAATCACAGCCGCGAGAAGGAATGGTTGGTGGCGCAACTACCTAATGTTGTTGCTGTCGACAAATAGGGCTTTCACTTACGTCGCAAAACTCTTCATTCTAAAAAGTGTTCCCCTTTTAAAGACGATAGCTTTTCTTGTGATGGTTCAGCGCCGAACGTTTGCTCTGTCCGTCCGCCCATTCTTCCATCCATCCATCTGTCCGCCCGCCCGCATGTCCGTCCATCCGTTTGTCTGTCTGTGCCTGTCGGTCCACCTGCCTGCCCTGCCCTGCCTGCCTGCCTGCCTGCCTGCCTGCCTGCCTGCCTGCCTGTCTGTCTGTCTGTCTGTCTGTCTGTCTGTCTGTCTGTCTGTCTGTCTGTCTGTCTGTCTGTCTGTCTGTCTGTCTGTCTGTCTGTCTGTCTGTTGGTGTTTGTCCAACGATTCTTCCGCTCAGCGAAAGTTTAAGCCCGTGCTCTTAGATATTTACAACAGTGTCTGAAGAATAGAAATTGTACCCGAGTCTTGCAAGCTCGTTCAAATCATTCTTATCGTAAAACCAGCTAAGATGCCCTTGAGCCTTAATACTACCATCTAATTAGTCTGACAAGTTGTTTATGTAACGTAACGAAAAAAAAATGATTGATGCGTAACTTCAGTGGGCATTTAACAGAACCGGTCTATTATCCAACTACTTTACAGGATTTAGGAAACAGAAAGTTATAATGGATGCACTGCTGGACACAGTAACGTATGTGGAGCATGAACGCACCTGTGGTAGTTTGACTATCGCAGTATTCGTAGACATTAAAAGGGCATTTGAAACCGTCAGTCACACTCATGTTTTGCTAAGTATGTTGGAACCCAGAATATCTGGCATGTCTTTGCGGTGGATCTTTAAATTTTTATCGTATCGCAAAGTATTCGTTCAAATGAGCGGAGGAAAGTGTGCTAAACACGACGTCAGGCAGATAGCGCTACAGTGAAGCGTACTCGACCTTTTTCTTGCTATGGCTGATTCAGTATGTGCTATGGCTGATTCAGTAAAAAGGCAGCCTTCTCAGTTGAGATACTAACTATATGCCGATGCTGCATGCATTTGAGCACCTGGGACGTACTGAAGTTCAGTCAAATCAGATGGCGTTGCAAGAGGGCATAAATATTATTAACCAATTTTAAAGCAAACACAAATGATTGTGTCGCACGCAAAGACAGCTGCAGTGTATTGCCCTTCAGTCGTAGGAAGCTAAAATTTTGCACTCTTCATTTAGAAGCATAAACACTAAATACAATAATACGGCATCAATTTCATAAATTTTATAAACATTAAATATGTTTTAATATACTTTAAATTTGATAAACATTACATATGTACTCCTACAATAAAGTTGTGACGCCGGGTTGACGTCAATTGTGTTATATGTCATGCGCTGAAGTTGATTTACGTAGCAGCGTCCACGGCTACCATCATTGTGAGCACCAGCGCTTCATATCAGCTTATCGCTTCTGGTGTTGCAAATACTCATGTTCCTGTTCGCATCGTTGCGCAAGTGCAAACGGGTGATTATGTAAACATCTGCAACATATGTATGTGCGTGCAACATTTGATATCTATAAATATATATATATATATATATATATATATATATATATATATATATATATATATATATATATATATATATATATATATATATATATATATATATATATATATATATATATATATATATATATATATATATATATATATATATATAGACCACGCTGGCAATGCGACGCTGTGAACAAAATGTGGGTGTATCCAACGCTTCGCTGGATGGATGGATGGATGTATATGGCTGTACCCTTTAGATCGGGCGGTGGCTAGCGCCACTAAGCCGTAATACTTAATGAAACAAAAACTAGATTTATTTTAGGGGCGAAGCTCCTTATGGCGTGGCTTGTGCATCTCTCGTAGCACGTAACCACCAGTGGCACATACCCGAAATAGCGGTCCTTACGATTTTGACCTCCAAGGTGGTTCCGGTGAGAGATTTCTTCTGTGTGTTGTTGAGCAATAAAAGATAGTGCTCAATGCACATGTTAATGGCTGCTAAGGGGGAATGAGAGACAGGAGCATTCGGCCTTTAGGTAACGCGCACGCTGCGATCCCCATTAGCAGCTATTAGCATGTACATTGAGCACAATCTGACAAGAAAGGGTTGCTACGTTATACTCGCTGGGTGTAACCTCTTTGGTTTTAGAAAGGTTTAGCGAGCGTTGGACCGTATAGCCATGAATACAGTGAACTAGTATATACCATGAACTCGAGGTGGTTAAAGGTGGGAAGTAAACCCGAAGCGCAAGCCGTAAGAAAGTGTGCATGTGCCACCTCCCGTTTAGTCCTTGACATTTCCGCTGGATGGCGGTGCTTCTATATGGAGAATATATGATGAAAAGATGTGAGATGGAGTGCTGAATGGAGTACTGGATGAATGGAGTACTGGATGGAGTACTGGAATGGAGTACTGGATGAATGGAGTACTGAATGGAGTACTGGATTCAGCACTGAATGGAGGGCTGAATGGAGTGCTGGATGGAGTACTGAAAAGATGTGGAGATGGAGATGTGAGATTGGAGTGCTGAATAGACGGACGAACGGACACACAGACAGATGCATGGATGGACGCATGAACGGACGCAGGCGCGGATGCATGGACGAACGCAGGGACGAACGCACGAACAGACGCACGCATGGACGGTTGGATGGACGCATGGACGGTTACACAGACGTACGCAGGAACGGACGGAAGCAAGAACGAATGGACGGACGAATGCTTCGCCCCACTCCCCATCATTCACTCCGTGGATATGCTGCCATTTCTTTCCCCCTTAAATAGTGAGGATGAGGATTCGTTCTTTGCAGTTAAGGGTTTAATTTTCACTCGTGCCTTCACTTTAGCCACCAATCAGACAACCTCCTTCTAGTTAATTCTACCCTCTTAAGTTTGTTTTGCCCTCCCTGTCCCTAAACCGCAGTGCTTTAAAAAACTCTGCGCCATCGTACTGAACTATAGGGTGAAGCCCTTTACAGAACATTATCAAGTGTTCGGCAGTTTCTTCTTCCTCTCCACACGCACTGCATACCGTGTCTACCCCTTCGTATTTGGCCCGATACGTCTTGGTTCGCAATACTCCCGTCCTGGCCTCAAACAGTAGAGAACTACCCCGAGTATAATCATAGATCCTTTACTTGGCAATTTCTTGCTTAAAAGTTCGATAGATCTCTAGTGCGGACTTCTTAATCATGCCAACTCTCCACATATCTGTCTCGGCTTCCTTCCCCTTCTTAACCGATAATTCTTTTTGGTTTGGCCCCCTGCTGTTTTCCAAGTATTTACCAGTCAATTTTCTGGTTCGCTTCCGCCATTTTGTATCGACATTCTTCATGTACAAGTAGCTGAATACCTTTTTAGCCCAACGCTCCTCCCCCATTTCTCTCAATCGCTTCACAAATTTTATCTTGCTACTAGCTTCCCTGCCCTCAAATGATGTCCATCCCATATCACCTTGTACTCCCTGATTTGGTGTATTCCCGTGAGCTCCTAAGGCAAGCCTACCTATTCCACGTTGCTTAATTTTTAAGCTATCAGGACCCGGTGCTGCCACCTATCAGTAGTTCCGTGCAAAAAACTTTAGTTTCGTCACAATATCGCCAGACTACACCATATCTCATGCAGCACTCACCAATCTTCTCGCGCAGATTTTCACATAAATGTTTTATTTTCCCTATCCAGTCACAACACTACGGTCTTTCGACCTCCTTTGCAGAAAAGCACGCAGATAAGCAGCCAGTTTTTAAGCAATCTACCACTTACTGTTATTGAAATTACTTAGTTTCTGCCGGATTACTTGTAAACAGCAAAAATTCAGCCCGGAGTAATTTTACATGCGAAGCATTTCTTGCTTGCAAAAAACACTTTGGCTGTCTCTCTTTCGAGCCACCTACATCTGGATGCTCTAGTGGTCGTTTCCTTAACTTAATGCCTACTGAAATCAACATAGAAGGAAACAAATGAATGAGGAAGACACACCATGATAGTATATAGTGGCTAAGGCAATCGGCTGCTCACTCGTAGGTCGTGGAACTGAATCCCAGCTGCGGCGGTTACATTTTCGATGGAGGTGAAAGTGCTGTAGACCCGTGTAATCAGATTTGGGTGCACGTTGAAGAACGCCAGGTGGTCGAAATTTCCGGAGACCTCCACTAACGAATCTTTCATAGTCATAAGGTGGTTTTGGGGTGATAAACCGCACATATTAATAAATCGATGAGAAACCTGACTCACACGTCACGAGATGAATAATGTGGCAAGGATGTCACGAGCGTTGCGGTACGTTTTTTTTTTTTTTTTTTTGCGACGTGCACGCTTACCCGCTTTCCAAGTCGCTGGGAATGCGGGAAAGTGGCAAACGCAAATTGCAGTCGATATCACCTTGAAAACAGCTAAATCAGGCTATGACGATCTTAACACGAGATGGTTCAGTATCCTTTATCACAGAAAATATCATGTCAGCATTGAGAGCGTTGTTAGGGACGAAAATATCAGATGTGCGGCCAGTATATATCGATACAAGTTGCAGTTGAAATCCAACCCACGCAGTATACGTATCAGTCAAGTATTGCACCTTGACGCAACGCCACATCTTGAAACAGCGTCGGCGAAAATTTCTATGCAGTCGTTTTGTCATGGCCACGTCAATCCTGTTTACAATGTTGGTCATCCACTTTCGTAACAGTGCAATAAACATTACATATGTGATCCTATGACTCGGCAAGCTGTAGTCAACCGTTGCTCGAAGCCGGAGGAATAAAGCGAAAACGGCTCCTTGTAAAACGCGTTAAACGGACATCATCACACCGTAGTTCGCACTACGTTTCCAGAAAGCTGACCTCTATTCTATAACGTAGGTGCCATCGTTACGTCAGAGTGACTGCGAGCTGCCCTTCACGCATTAGGAATTGATTGATTGATATGTGGAGTTCAACGCCCCAAAACCACCATATGATTATGAGAGACGCCGTAGCGGAGGGCTCCGGAAATTTCGACCACTTGGGGTTCTTTAACGTGCACCCAAATCTGAGCGCTCCGGCCTAGAACATTTCCGCCTCCATCGGAAATGCAGCCGCCGCAGCTGGCATTCGATCCCGCGACCTGCGAGTCAGCAGCCGAGTATTTTAGCCACTAGATCACCGCGGTGGGGCACGCATTAGGAATGCCAATGTCTTCTGAAGACGTATATTCGCATATGTAGCCAAAGTGCAAGGACACGCCCATTTGCGTCGCAGTGCCTAGAATACACAAAAAAAAAATGTGGCATAGGCTGCTACTCACCTACTGCTTCGCGTAACATCGACACCCACAGTGAGTGGAATCTGCAGTGACTTTTTCAGAACAATATATTCCTCGAGCGATTGAACAATGTCACGTCTCATTGACGTACACTTAACAAGAAACAGGCACGTACTTCTAAAAAAATCTCACAATGCATTTTCGAATGACAGCTGAAGTCACACATAGCACACTCACATTCGTCATAATGCTAAGGTGCTAAACTAGCTTCATTCATTGACTTCGACACAACGTAACCGTTGCTTATTTGCGAATCGGTACAATTTGGAGTATAGTAGAGACTCCATCGAGACCATAGTGGTTGTTCCTGTTTCCACGGATCCATGAGAGCCAAAATAACACTGAATAAACAAAAGAGTAGGCGGCATTCAAGCTCCACTTTGGAATTCTATATCATCATACCACAACATAATCACGATAATACTGCTTAGAGTCAAAGGCGGGCTCAAGCTGGTTATTATATCGTCGCCTTGTCTACGGAAAGGTGCCTCTTCAGCAGGCTTCTGTCGCGACATCGACCACGCCAGATATCGCATATGAGCTATTGTTTAGCGAGACAAACAACGAGATAAAGAGGAGAAGCACTTATTTCAGCCATCGCCACCCTAAGTGCAAACATTCGTTGTAACATTAGAGACTAGACACCCTGCTGCGTGGCGTTCGACTTAGATAAATCAAAAGGTCCTCGAAAGTAACGAAGCTTTTAGCGGCAAGCTTTCTTTTGCGTTTCTGCTTGAAGACTTGCGTGACCATGAACAAAGAGGAGAGCTGTCCTTGTGAGTTTTCGCATACTTTGCTTTTCGGTCGGAAGTGCTGTCCAGTTCTTGTAGTTGTTTTTCGTCTCCATTCCTGATAATTCAGAGACGTCAAGTTAAATCATGAGCGACTGGCAATTTTCGTACTAGCGAAAATTAAAACTAGCTCAATGGCTGTGCCTTCACTTGCGAGTAAAATGTGAAGTTCTGTAGTTTTTTTTTTTAGCCAAACTGCCGTGTTTCATTGATTCTCGAAAGCGAACTTCCCGCTTTATGAAACACAAAAATAGCAATGTCACCTATACAATCAAGTAAAAGAAAGGTTCGTTGTTGCCGAACTTCTATAAAGCATATACTCGTATAGGAGCATCAGTTTTCCAACAAGTCAACCTCTCAGGTTCAGGAGGAAGTGAATTGGTTGTAGTCATTATCTTTAATGGGAAGAAAGTGCACAGCTTTTGATAATCTCATTATTTGTTACAAAACGGTCCCTAACCATCTTTAACTTCAAGAGTAAAATAGCACTAATTTGGTTGCTGGAAGATTTAGCATGAGGTTAAGTTTACAGTTTCTGACATTTGGAGTACTTAACGGTTTACAGAAATCTCAGAACGCTTGAAGAAATGTTATTTCGACGCTTGAGTTTGTGCCTAAAAACGCAAAATTTTCAAGCAGAAGAACAGTGAAGCGTGTTGTTACATATTGTGACACATGAATTTTTTTCATGTCATCACTGCCACGTGAAAGATTTCAAAGCTGAGATTTGTTGTTTTTGTTACGAGTGCTAATTGTAATTTTATTCTTTTGTCACAGCTTCGAGCGATGTACCGAAGTCGAACAAGCCGTGTCTTCAATACTACAAGGGTGTGCCTCTGCCTGGCTTCTTTCCACGAGAGTGCATCGAATCAGCCTGTAAGTACAAACCAACGAAGGACGACTTGTACATCGTCACGTACGTCAAGTGCGGCACCACGTGGACACAACACGTGGTGTACTTGATCCAGACGGGAGGCGTGCCACCTTCGAACGCGGAAGAATTCTACAGGGCTAGTCCGTACATCGAGGCCTTCGGAGCCGAGTGCGTAGAGTGGATGAAGAAGCCCGGGGCCCTGAAGACCCACCTGCCGGTGCAGTTGCTGGAGTACAGCCCTGAGGCCAAGTACCTCGTGGTCGCCCGCAACCCACGTGACGTCATAGTGTCTCTGCAATATCACTGGCTCTCCTTCGTCGGGTACCACTACAATGGTACCTTCGACGACGCATTCGAGCATTTCATGAACGACGAGATTGACTGCGGTAACTTCTTCACCTTCTACAAGGACTGGTATGAGCGAAGTCGCGACCCCAACGTGCTTTTTGTCGTGTACGAGGACCTTAAACGCAATCCCGAAGAACTCATCCTGAAAATCGCTCGCTTCATGGGCGAAGAGTACGAAGCCAACTTGCTCAAGGACGGCCACAAGAGACTCCATGACGTCATCAAATACAGCTGCGTGGAGGAAATGAAGAAGTACACCAACGACATCATCCAAGAGTTTTTTCGCGGTAGCTTTGACTTCCAGGGTCCGGAATACGAAGGATTCAGGCAGTTCCATCACGGTATTCATTCAGCTGGATTAGAAGCGGCGAACAACATCAACTACGTGCGCAAAGGAATTGTCGGAGACTGGAAGAACCACTTCACTCAAGAACAACTCAAACGACTGAACGAGAAGTTCAAGAAAGAAACCGAAGGAAGCGACATTGCCGAGCTCTGGCCGGAAATGAACTTCCTCGAATGAGACAAACTGCAGCACTCCATCCACGAGTACCAAAATGCACAGTGCCTCAATCTTCTTACTAATTAGCAAAAACTTTCGGTTACAACGTAAATGATTGATCATTTGTACTGTCATATGCCCAACAAGCGTATTCCTTATGCATGCAGTATTTAGTTGTTCTGTTTATGGATGGTGTTGCGACAACTGATAAAACTGCAAATGTTAGTTTTGTGGCTCATTGTACTCTGATCTAGTTGGCTCATTCAAGACCTAGTGCAATTGTGGCTTTAAAATGCTTTTTTTTAATGTCTCACTTCTCCACCCTTCCCGACACCTGCCTGGCTTTTTGCTCTGTTACGTTCATGAAAGCGGCGGCATTCCCTTTCCCTCGGTGACCATATGTGCCAGTCGCCCTATGCATGGTAAGGTGAGTCTCCCAGAAACTCATAAAAGTGATCGAAATCAATCAGTCAATTAATCAATCAACCAATCAATCAATCAATTATTCAAGTGACTTAGTTCAGGAACAAAGATTATAACATTTGCCGGTTTAAGTTGACTTTATCATCGCATATTTTTTGTTCGCTGTTTGAGATTGATTTAAGCTAAAGAATTGTAACAGGATTTTATACAACACAAACTTTATTTCTTTAGATGCCTTCAACTCGTATTCCAATATCGACACGAGGCATTGAATTGACTATTTGGGCAAAAGATGACACGGTGCACCAAGGAGAAAAAGCCGAAGGGAAATTCTGATGCCGTTTGTATGATTGATGATTGTATGATGATGATAATACCTTTGATGATTGATATGTGAGGTTTAACGTTCCAAAACCATCATATGATTAGGAGAGACATCGTAGTGAAGGACTCTGTAAATTTAAACCACCTGGGGTTTTTTAACGTTCACCCAAATCTGAGCACACGGGCCTAGAACATTTACGCCTCCTTCGGAAATTCAGCCGCCGCAGCCGGGAATGTATACCACGACTTGCGGGCCACAGCCGAGTACCTTAACCACTATACCACCGCGGCGGGGCTTATAGTTACCTTTAAGAAGCGAAACGAATGCGAATTTAAATTCCTAGTTTTGTATGCGTTATTTCAGTATTTTTTTAATTGCTTTTCTTACTGGCACTTTAATTTATATTCCGAAAAAGATTGAAGTGTCTCATCTGAATCAGTGAAGCACAGTTATTGAACTGTATATGTTGTGAGTACGTTGTTATTCTCTTCATATCAAATTCAGTAACCGATAAATTTAACAAATTCATATAATAAATCATGGCCAGCCTCTCTGATTGGTATGAGCCATGTTAGAGGAGGTTACAAGAACGACAACAAGGAGAGGAGCAACACACAGCTATGTTACTCCTTTTTGTCGGATAGGCTGTCCCTTTATTTTCATTTTTGTGCAACGCAGGTTTAAGAATGGCAAACCAACTTGCCCAGTCCTAAAACATCACCAGACCACCCAGGTAGCACGCAAAGTCAACTCGCCGATTGTCGTACGTGTTCACAATCGACCCATAAAAAGGTCAAGTTATCGCTGATAGCACGCCTTTACAAAGGAATCATTCATTACACCTACACTGATAGCCGCAAAATGGAGCGCGTTGTTGACATAGACTGATTAGATCGCACCAAGTGAGCGTTTAATACCACAAGGTGGAAGCTACACAACTGGAGACATATTCGCTCCAGAGGAAAGGTTGGCACTTTCCACCGGTGTCTTCTCAGCCGCGCCACGTCACCAACGCTATGCAAGCGACGCAGGAACACGATGGTAAGCTTTAGTGTAAGCCACGTCGGAGCAACTTGAGTGTTTTTGTCATAAATAACGGAAGTGCCGAAAAACAATAAGGTCGTTCAGATGAAGGTTCGAATTTCCAACCATCGTAAGTTGATTTACGATGTGCACCACGGGTCTTAATAACTCGAGCGTAAAGTTTAGCCACAGTGCATATATATACACCACAGTTAGTGCATATATCTGAATGTCCATGGCACTAGAGTTAGGAAGACAAGTGGAATAAACTAAAGAATTGCCGCTGTATATTTTTTCATCCTTTCTAGCTCATTTTATCATCTAGCGCACAATATAAGACTAAGACTCAGTGAGAGCCGTCGAATACAGGCGCCTGTGTTTGTCTAATGCCACTCAGTACTTGCCTTACATTGTTGTTTTGTTGTCTCTTCCATTACCTTCTTGATCGATGCCTTCTTTTCACACAGAGCTACAAAAACTGTCAATAATTATTTCGTCTAGCATGGCTTCTAAATAAAAAGAAATTTATATTCGATAACACGTTTACACTGCACAATACTCCTTTGTAATTCTATCCTGGCTGCGGCGGCTGCATTTCCGATGGAGGCGGAAATGTTGTAGGCCCGTGTACTCAGATTTGGGTGCACGTTAAAGAACCCCAGGTGGTCGAAATTTCCGGAGCCCTCCACTACGGCGTCTCTCATAATCATATGGTGGTTTTGGGACGTTAAACCCCTCATATCAATCAATCAATCCTTTGTAATTCTCATTTTACGTAAACTCCACATAATTTCAAGAGCTGTGCGTTTGCGGTGTGGATTTCTAAAGAATATGTCAGCTCCGAAGTGTCGGTGGCGAACTCTCGGCCCCCATGCATTATAGTCAGCTGGCGTGCACAGTTCTAATCACAGCGTAAGACTGGCGCTGACATACTAACGCTGGTTACTGCACCGGCTGTCCCGAAAGGCAAACACTGAGGATTACCTTTCAAAGAATATTTAAAGCAAACTGCGGTGTCTCCCAAAGTGCTGCTTCTACTGCACCTGTAGATAGGACGACAACACGGTGTTATTTTTGTTCTGACCAATTTTTGTGCATACACGAAAGCCGGTGGCCGTGACAAAAAATATACTTGAAGATTCAGCTGTAAACCTTATTGTTTTTCCATAGCCTATTAGCTATAACCCCTATCGTAGAATAAATGTGAGAGTGATAGATATCTTGCTGCTAAGAATCGGGCTTCAAGTTCAATATTACTGAGGGGCAAAACGCGGGAGGAGTTGGATGAAACTTCATTTTGAGAATCCGGTGACCTCGATGGTGCGGATACCCCGCCTTGTCATCAACTAGGAGTGCTTGGGTCCCGGCGTCATCATGTAGCTAGACGCACGTATTTAGCAACCTGGCAGGAAAAACTATTTCGCATCGTGTCACTGCAGCATGCTTCATCATCAGATTACAGATTTGGCTCGTAAATTATGAAAATCGTCTTTTGCTAATGCCCGCAGAAGTAATTTTTGCGTGTAGAGAACCCAACCTCTATTGAAACCTTTCGTACACCTCAGCTATTCGTTCTGCCTGTTTCAGTAAGGTCGTTTCATAAATATCACGCAAAAGTATGCTGGATATAAAGAAAATATTTGTATTATATATAGGTAAGGAAACCTTACGAATCGTTGGAAAGGTATACAAACAATTTAGGTAAGAACGCCCAAATGTTGCTATTTAAATGTGTATTCCTCATTAAGAAAGTATGAACATGCAGAAGAAAAATATTCTTTTTTTAATTTTCCACTTTGTTCAGGATTCAAAACAAGCACCAGAAAACAGCCTAACCTGATGATGGTCAGAGGTACTCCCTTTGCGGGGTATTTCTATCGCGAGTACATCGAGTCTGCTATGGATTACGTTCACCGCAAGGACGACCTCTTCATCGTCACCTACGTCAAATGCGGCACTACATGGATGCAGCACATCGTGTACCTCATCCAGAACGATGGAGTGCCTCCAGCTAACGCCGTACACAGTAAAAAATTTTGCACCCAAAAGGGTGTAAAAAGGGTGCTTTTACGAGAAAGCACCCTTTGCAACACCCTTTAACACCCATAAATGGTCGATTGAAAAAAAAGCACCCTTTTGTTTGGGTGCTTGCCTCGATAGCACCCTAAAATAGGCTCTAAGGGTGCTTTTGTGCCTGAGAAGGGTGTAGGTGCCGATTCATCGGATGGAATATGCAGCATAAGAAGAACACATAATTATAATATTTGGGATTTTACGTCTCAAAAACCTCGATATGATTATGAGGGTCGTCGTAGTGAAAAGCTGCAGATTTTCACCATTTGGTGTTCTTTAATGAGCGCTCATATCGCACAGTGCAAAGGCTTCCACATTTTCGCCTCCGCCTTAATTCGACTGCCACGGCCGGCATCGAACCCGCGACCTTCGGATTGGCGGCTGAGCAGCGCAGCTACTGCACGAATATGTGGAGCTTGCGTTAAATGACGGCCTAATTGACTTAGAATGTGTGAAGGTGCTCTCCGAACACAGCAGAATGTCAGCAGAAGCAAATCGCGTTTCATCTATAATGGCAATTAACTGCAATCCATGTTACGAAAGCTTTCCTTAGCGTTGGTTATAAGCTACATGTTTGCTGTGGATTATATACAGGAACATAATGTTCGCCCGAGTATGGGTGTGTGTGCGTGAGCCTGCGCATGTGTTCGCGTGTAAGCGCGATTGTGTGTACGCCCGTGCATGTGTGCGTGCGCGTGTATGTGCGAGTCCGTGCTTGTGTTAGCGTGCCTGTGCACATGTGTACGCCCATGCATGCGTGCGTTTACGGTCGCGTGTGTGTGTTGCCGTATGTGTGTATACGTGTATGTGTGTGCGCCTGTGAATAAGTATGCGTGTGTATCAGCCCGTGCGCCCTCAAATTTCGTGTGTGTGTGCGGGGGGGGGGCACTGCTTCTTAGTGTTTAAGCTCCCACACCTGTTCAGACTGGGATTCTATATGGGAGGTGGCTTAAGAAATGGCGGTGGTCAACGCACTGTACACGGACTATTCAGTACATGGAAAACAGCTGCACACTTTCGTACCAAATCATTGCTTACGAACTTGCTGTGGTAGCTGATTAGGTCCGCTGAGGCGCTTCTACGCTCGAAAACGTGGGTTATGACCAATTCACACGGAAAGCTGTCACTGCACTTATGCACAACCATCGTTTATATTAACAACGTTTAACAAGAACGTGCCCTGCCTTTGCTACAGGTGCTTAGCTAGCTCATTGGGCAACCATATGGAATTATGTGCTGATCATGTGGTCAGCAAAAAGTTTGTTATAACAACCTCGGCACGTTTCGTGGTGCGTGACAAGCCTTGTAATAAACATCCGCGACTGTGGATTAATTTGTTGCAGCTTCGACTACGCATTCAGTGTTTGCGGCACCATACGCGGAATAGCCAGACACAGACAATGCAAAAAGAAATTCCTCTGGAAAAAGGTGTAGCGATGCTCTCCCGCTAATGCCACCGAGGACGAAATAATTATTGTTTCTGGCCATTCCATGGTGCACTTTGTTTTCCGCAAGTTTTGCTTCACTATTTTTCGCCCACTGCAATCGCATTCCGTCAAAATACTCAAAGAACCCGAGGCTGGTAAATAATCTGCGTCGCTGTGCGACTGGCTGGGAGGAGAGTTGCCGTTTACAAGGAGTCATTCCGCGCCGAACGGCCGTCCGCCGTATGCGCCATAGCGTTTGCCTTTCGGCGCCGCCTTGGCGGGTTTCGCGCTCCTCCCCCCCCCGCTCACCCCGGCCAGCGTTGCTTCCACAACGGCGGCGTAGATAAGCGAATAGTTGCGTAACCGAACACCTGCGTGGACAGCTGCGGCGCCGCCACGCCGCCGCCAGTGCCTCCTCCTTCTCTCTCTCTCAACGTTGCTCCCTCTGTCTCATCGTCTTTCAAATGCGTTGCGTTGGTCTGGGGTCTTGGTCGCTGTGTGTGTTCTAGCGAACAGGCGCATATTCAATGGTGGTCACGCATGACACCGTGTTCGAAGTGACGCTCGGATTAAGGAATATTCATGGAGTGGCGGACACGGACAACGTGGGCCTGTTAACGGTGAGTGTACTGTTTTCGTAGGTAGTAATCATACAGCGCTAGCTGGGCGCCTGCAGCAGCTCTGCCGAAGTAGGCTGCCAGCCATTTACAACAGCATGCGTTCGCAGGCCTGTTGCAGATGCCCGATTAAACGTGTGACTTAACGAGTTCACACTGCTATGCGCGATGTTGTGTAAGCGCCTGCATCACTCATACAGTGAGTGATGTGATCACTTAACAAGGGCGGGATTAGTTGCTGATCGCACATTGTCTCTACAGTGCACAAAGTGATTGATATTGTTTTAAGATGTGCTTTGGGCTACATCGTAATAACATTTCTAATAATACTCAAATGTGCAACGTGCTTCTGTAGGTGTAAGCGCAAAAAAAGAAAGAAAAAGCAAAAATTATGTACAGAGGCGCACTGTACGAAATGGCTTTTTTTTGCTTAAAGACGGTATAGTTGGAGGTGCTGATATGCCGCGATGCTCCCAGCACGTGCGCCTCGGTCTTTTAAGCTATTTATGACAAGTGCCACCAGCAACAGGGAAAGATCTAGCAGACTTCCAAGGCGCGTTGTTGTGGCCATCGCCGTGCGTTGTTTTCCCTCGTTTCTGTTTGCTGTTTTCGTGCTTCGCTTTCATCTGCGATAATGTTCGGCGTTATAACAGAATCGAGAGAGTATACGTGACTGTTGGAGCTATGTGCGGTTTGCTCTAGCATAAGTCATGGCTGCTGCAACGTAGTCGGCGTCCGCGCGCGTTGGTGTCGTTCGAGCGCTCTTACTTGCGTGATTGTGTTTAACTGAGTATTTAGGCACAGGTTACGTTTGTAAATCTCGTAGTCAATAATCGCTAATAGCGTGCCCCTGATTGCCATCAGAGGATGGGCTTGGTTGTCGAAATATGCCAGACGCTTTTTCTGAAAGCAAGCTTTGAATTTTTTTTAAAGAAGTACTTTCATACGTGCAAGGCAGTGCATATTGCAGGCCCGCAACTCTTTAAAAACTGGACGAGCTATCACGTCTTTTATCAAATTACAATGAATTAAGATGATTAAATTATAGATGACGAATTTCTGTGCTAGATTAGGTGCACAACACACATGTTCGCAGCCCTACGTCTAGAAAGCAGGCAAATAGGAAGCACAGCGTCAAATTTGGATTAGATTCCATTGACGGAGCGTCTTGTGAGAGTAGAAAGAACGAGAAAATTGTTCATTTTTGATGCCCTTATAGAGGCAGTCAGAATTGCACTGATTGGTGACTTGTAACAATTCCTCAGATTGTTAGAGGCGTGATTTAGGTAAGTAAATCTTTTACTTTTTTTTTGCAGACCTCTTCGCTAGTGCCACGCCCAAGATCATTTCTTCTCATGTAAAAGAGAAAGCAGAGATGTCTTCACTATTTGTACATGAAGAGGTAAGTTTCTTGTGCGTTTTGATTAATGCTACATGTTCTAAACGTTGTACTTTAAGAATTGTTTTTCACACTGGCTCACTACCCTAGAAGGAATTTGATTCTTAAGTGAGTTCAGGCTTTCGTAAGTGCCATTTTTGAGCTGTAGTCTTACACTTCACCTCATTTCGGGAATTCGCTGTATGCTGGAAAACTCTCATCTTCATCATACGAAATTATTGGAATGTATGGGTTGTATGCTTCGAGTTCAGTGTAATGTCAATTACACGCCATTTCGAAGGATACACACTACACATTCTACATATATGGTGCTGCCAGAACAGCACGAAATTTTTTTTATGAGAAGTCATATTTGCTCTTATTACAGGATGAGAGGGTGCCGCTGACGTCCTGCGTAGTCTACCCTGGACCCAGCCTAGAGCAAGCCTACTTCCTGAACCTCCACATGGATAACCGAAAAATCTTCCGTGTCAGTAATGACGAAGAAGGAAGGAGTGACAGCACTGATGAGTTGATTTTTTTTTATTTTCAACATTGTCTACGGCCGCAAGGCCTTTAACAACCACAGTGATTGAGCGGCTTTTTCTCGGCGTGAGTTTGGAGTTTATCAAAGAAGTTGTTCAGGCAGTACGACACTGAAAATTTCAGTGTCACAATGCCTGAACAACTTTTTCTAGTGTGGTCATGGTAGATGAACAAATATTGTTATTTGTGTAAGGTATTTTGCTTAAATATAGCTGGACTATTCCATGCCAAACGTCCCAGCCACTTTGGCGACCATCTGAATTGTATTTGAAAAAAAAAAATGTGCTGACTTACTGCGTTGAAAACAGTGAACTGCTAGAATACTTCAGCGAGAAAAAAAGTTTTGTTCATGTGGCTGGCTTATAACTTCCTGCCAGAATGCCGTCTGTGTGCTGTTTGTGGAAAATTTTGTTTTAAAACTACCGCTTATTTTTTCTAAAGCAAATTCGGTCTACCTGTTAAGTAAATGTGCTTCTGTAAGGTATTTGAAGCTCAATAATAATAGTGCAATTTTTTTGCCACATTCGCTTCCAAGAATAAAGCCAAAATGTGTTATGTTTGCATTTTTTATTGCAATATTGCACTTTGTATGAATATCTGAGCAGTGAATACTTACTCCACAGAAGGTATATTCTGAGGAAAAAATATCTTTATACCTCTCAAGCTGCTGAAATATACGAGAAAATATCACGAATTTCACAAAATCGTGATTTTTGTCCGTATTGAGATGCAATTTGCTCCATGTTGTGATACAATGAAAACTCATCATTATACCTAAACTGTAAGAAATGAAATTCTTTTCTGTAATAAAAATCTTATCGCAAAAGGACAGGAAAGAGCGCTGTCAACTGAATTTTATTGAAGGTGCTACGAGCGTTTTTATACTGAGCACAAGACCAGGGCTCATCTGCAACAACACGTGTGGCCATGACAAAATAATTTTAACCGAGAAAAGAATACTCTTTTTTCGGAAAAGATAAGTGAAGGTGTACTGATGCATTGATCCTTGGCCTTCCTGATAAAGAGTTCTAAAATCTCTCATTTTTCTGCTTGCTTTTTTTTCAAAAACCGTGTTTTATGAAACCTAGGACTACACTTATATTCTTCACGGTGTCCGGCCATGAGACTACTATAGCCCTTCTTAACATTTGAAGCATGCTGTCTTGCTTGATGATTGAAGCATTGCCCAGTTTGTCCTATGTTTACTTTTCCACGTGTTAGTGGTATCTCATACACATTAGATTGGCATTCAGTAAACCTATTCTAGTGACAAATGGTGCAAGATTGACTATTCCTGTTGCTGTAAGTACATGCACTTTTGAAAGCTTGTAAGGGGTTGAAAACAATAATGTCATATCTGCTGGCTCTTTTCCTAAAATTGTGAGACACCTTATGTACGTAGTACCATGTGACATGCAAAGGTGATTGGTCATTCTCTTTTTCTTTTGGTCCTGTTTCCTTTAACTTTACTTTCTGCTGGAGGGTTTCGCAAACAAGTGTGATGATGCTGTTGGGGTATTGGCTGGTGCTATCAGCCCAGGAGTGCTAAGAATGTTCTGCCTTTTGATAGTGGGCATTCAAAATTAATAGAAAGAGGAATTGATACCACATGTATTCAGGCCACCCTTCAGAAGTCATGTTAGCACAAGGGTGAGGTCAGGCTTAAAAACCAGATTAAAAGACTAAAAGATGCTGGGTATCCCAACAGAATCCTCACACCCATTTGCAAAACCCTCCTGCAGAAAGTAAAGTTAAAGAAAGAAGACAGGACCAACAAAAAACAATGACCAAAACCTTTGCATGTTATACCACATCACGTGTCTCACAACTAGAAAAATAGCCAGCAGATATGATATTAGCGTGTTGTTTTCCACCCCTTGCAAGCTTTCAAAAGTGTGTGTACTAAACAGCAACAGGAATAGTCAATCTTGCCCCATTCGTCACGAGAATAGGTTTACTTAATGCCAATTTAACGTTTGTAGAAATATTTTTTATCAGGTAAACCAATGATCAGTGCATCACTACACGTTCACTTATCCTTTCCGAGAGGGAGTATTCTTTTCACAGTTAAAATTATTTTGTTGTGCTCACACGTGTCGTCGCGCATGAACACGGTTCTTGTACTCCGTATAAAAGCGCTCGTAGCGCATTCATTAAATTCAGTTGACAGTCTGTGCTCTTTCCTGTCCTTTCTGTCTCTTCCTAAAGTTGTCGCGCTGTGACTAGCACACAACCACGATGAACCAACTCTCTCAAATTAAGCTCTTGTTACGTAACACGTAGACCGAGTTTCGTATGGAAAGAAGGAGCGGTGCTTTTAAAATAAAATTTTTCACATACAACACCTAAACGGCATTCCAGAAAGTTCAGAAGGCAGCCACGTGACCAAATATTTTTCCTCTCCTAAATATTCCAGAAGTTCACTATTTTCAATGCAGCACGAGTTTTTCGAATACATTTGAGATGGTTGCCAAAATGGCTGGGACATTTGGCATAAAGTGACCCAGCTGTGTCATTAGCCATAATTATGCATTACCTCTTTTGTTTTTTGTGTGTCCTGACTCAGTTTTGTGTTCGTTTTTAGCATATTGTGTTTCTGATCATTGTATTGGTTTCTTAAGTATTCGCTAAAGTTATATGTGCGAAAACCCGTATATGTTTGCATGTACATCATTTCTCATAACCAATTGTTATACATCCAGGAATACAAAGCTTAAACCACTGTGATTGTATACATTTGAAAACACTATCCATATATATTTTTGTGTGCATCACTTCTTGGGAACGATTGTGTACATGAAGGCGTATATAGTGAAATCATGGTGATTGTATATATTTGAAAGAATCATAAGTATATATTTGCCTGTATTTCATTCCTATTAACCGATTGTGTACACGAAGGAGTATTAAACTGGAAACCACTGGGATCGTAGATACTTGAAAGAATATAGGGATATATTAGCATGTATTTCATTTGTAGTCTCTATGTACTTGAAGCAGTTATACTAAACTGAAACCAGTGTAATTGTATGTTGTAAAGAATTGTCAATAAAGTGAAACTGAAAAAATATAATAAACATTTGAGGTGTTGCATGTGTAGTGTACGTATACATGAACGTATATCTGGTGAAAAAGTTGTGTGTCAGAAGAAAAGTTTATGTTTTATTTGCCTATTAAATAAACGCAATATGCAAGGGCAGCAAGGCTTCATTTTCTGTAACGCGCATTATGCATATACACTGAAGCATATATAGATCCAGCACAAGTTCATACACGATTGTACGCGTTTATATTTTTGCCCACACGCAATGAATGGAGCTCGACAGGTGGTGCACCATCGATAATCAGGACCACTTTCTTCAAGTAGTGTTTAATCAGTGCATGCTGATATCTATTGGTGGCAGTATTCGCCACCCCTGCCATGGGCACTCCACACCCTTGTGCACCCTTCTCGCACCCTCCTCAGAGGGTGCTAAAAAAGTGATGGACATCGAAGGCACCCTTCCTTAAGGGTGTTTTTTGCCACCCTACAGTTTTTTTACATGTACACCCTATTCTAAGGGTGCATGATAAAGCACCCTTTTTGGAAGGTGCTGAATTAACACCCTTAGGGTGTCGTCCACGGGACAAGCTCATTTACACCCTTCTGGGTGTAAAAATTTTTACTGTGTAGAGTTCTACAAGGCTTCGCCGTTCATCGAGATCTGCGGTGCCGACTGCATGCAGTGGGTCAAGAGACCCGGTGCCGTCAAGACCCATCTACCGCTGCACCAGATGCGCTGCTCCCCCGAGGCTAAGTACATCGTCGTGATAAGGAACCCATTCGACGTCCTTGTATCAATGCACCACTTCTGGTTCATGATATCCGCCTACGAGTACGAGGGCGACTTCAACGACTCGTTCGAGAATTTTATGAACAATTACATGGAGAGTGGAGATTACTTCGCCTTTTACAGGGACTGGTACGAACGTAGTGCTGATCCTAACGTGCTATTCGTTGTCTACGAAGACATGAAGAAAGACCCTGAGGCAGCCGTACTCAAGGTCGCAAGGTTCCTAGGGCCTGAGTATGAGCAACGCCTGCTGGCTAATGACGGAAAGATTCTGAAGGACGTGATCAAGTACAGCAGGGTCGATGAGATGAAGAAGTACACCAACGATATGATACACGACTTCTATGCGACTGATTTCGCGTTTCAGGGAGAGCAGTACTCTGGCCTGCGTAAGTTTCACGAAGTCGTCCACAACGCGCGTAGTCGTGAAGACGGACCTGCTGCGTCCGCGGACAAGATATACTACGTCCGCAAAGGCGTGGTCGGAGACTGGAAGAACTATTTTTCTCCGGAACAAGAGAAGAGGCTAAAAGAAAGGTTTCAAAAGGAAACGCGGGGATCCGGAATCGCTAACTTGTGGCCCGATATGGGATTCCATGGAAGAAAGGAGTGAATCGACGGCAACAACCAAGAATGTAGCCAAAGAATTGTGCTAGTGTCGCTTCTGTAGAGCCGACACAGAGTGAACGTCACTTATCGTAGGTTACATAAATGCAATGTGTTTGGATATGTTTCCCATTCTCGTGTGTGCATTTTTCCCCTCAATGTAACCAAGACTCAAGTGCCTATGTCGTGCCCCGTCACTCCTTCTACAATGCGGCTTATTAAGCTGGACATATGTCCTATAACACGTTCATAGCAGCACACTATTGGACCCTGCATGAGCTTCGTCTTTGCAGTCGATCAATCAGCCAATCAATCAGTGAAATTTTATTCTCGTGAACAGAAAATGCATACACAGAGATTGTTCTAATCGACAGCCTTAAGTGGCCAGTGGCTGGTTCAATAAAAAAAATGCAAGAAAGTGCGCATGCATACAGGTAAGCTAAGAGAAAGAGGGAGAGAAGGAATGTAGGAAAGGTAGGGAGGTTAACTAGACCATGCGTCCGGTTTGCTACCCTACACATGGGGAGGGGGAGAGGGGAATACAAAAAGAGAGAAAAATAGACACATGTCACATCACACACACAATGCCGAGTTTCACAGGCGGTCCCTCAATGAAGTTGCTGTCAAGTTTCTCAGGAGGGCTCGTGTTGGTTTCCGTGCTGTCGTGCTGCGCGACCAGGCTCGTGCTAACAAAAATGCATACATGTTTATGCAAGTATAGATTTATTCTTGAAACACAGGAAATAACTAAGGAATAGTTTAAAAACTGACCCAACGGTACGTGCAGCTGCCACAATTGTCTACAATGGCAGATTTTATTTGGCCATTACAAATGTAAAATGGAGTGCATAACAATGCTTTGTTCTACTTGCGGTTTAAATGCAAGTGCAAGAACCACGGGGATGAAAGTTATTGCGAAGCTAGGCTGCCATCACCCACTTAGGCCTGTTTACAATCTCAACAAGTGTTTACGATGGCCTTATTCTACAGTCAAACGCTAAGACATAGATCAGAATCAGGTGTAGTTAAAAAAACCTAAAACCCCAGAGTTTCAGCCTGGTTATTTATGGCAGTTTTTTATTTCACCGTTTGGACACATGATGTGTACAAGTGCGTCGCATGCGCTCTGCCGTAAGAAAACTTTTTCCTAGTGAATCCTTAAGTGTATTACGCAGAATTATTTTATTCATTGAATGGTAGCAGCGATAAGAAAAAAAGTCGAAGACGCCTGAGCTTCGTTTCAGGGAATGAACACGATGGCATAATCAGGCCTTCTCAATCGATGGCCCAATCACTCCTCACTGTGCGCATCAGCAATGCCGCCAAAAAAAAAAAAACGCCCGTTCGAGTAATGTTGGTCTTTTAAAAATTATCCTATAATCCCTACGTGGGACCAGCGAAGTGGCGCGAGGCCTCCCCTGCGTCTTCTGTTATTTTTTGTGCACCACTTCACTAACTATATTCTTCTGTCATGGCAAGAAAAGTTCGTGTTCCGTAAAATCACCTACGTAAAATGCAACGTTGTGAATCTGCGAAAAATCTTTGAGTTAAACTACGTGCGCATAAAATAAAGCACATTACTGCGGTGAAGTTTTTTTTTTTTTCAGGATTGCCGCACAGTGCCTCCTTCGCAGCATAATTCAGGAAAAACTTCCATTGATCAGTTTTGCGGTGGCTTTTAGAGCAGTTTTTGACACAGATTCACGTGCCTTGACTAAATAATTTCAGTTGTTGTGCAAAACATATGGAGCCGTGCATGCGTATGTACAGCTATCTATGAACTATTTGTGGATAGGGAGAAATAAACATTATTAGAAAGAAATGAGTCTTCACAGTGGGCAGTCTTCTTAGTCCAGAAAACTGCAGACTCTAATCGTCTCCCTCCTCAGGTCGATCTAGCTGCGGCGTAGGCCTCCCAGCTAGGCTTTGCTCTGTGCTCTGGCCTTACCTATTGCCTTGTTTCAAGGCACCACTATTGTTTCAAGCTACAATATAAATTAAGTTAGGCGAGGTTAGTAAATCGGACTCTATAAAAGCACGCTGTTTTTACCCCTCCCGGCTCAGCCCCACTGAAACACGTATTTCTACGCCTTCGTCGACTGACGGCATCTGGGATATAAAGAAGCCGCGATTAAGTTTGTTTTCTAAGAAAGGCGAGAACAGCACGCCACAAAGATAAAGCATTATCTTTGTGGTTCCCGCCTGCTTCGGCGTCACTCGCGACGTATGTTTGGTCAGGCAAACCACAATGAAGGTTTGACAGAGTGGTAATACGTTCTACAGAGCCCCTGCTGTGTGGTAGCTTCCTCTGCAATTTTCGAGCGTGAGGCGCGAAAGCGTTGCATAAGCGGTTCACAATGCAGAAATCCTACAGTGCATGGCCTGGAGACACGGAGTAAACCTCAGCAGAAGTCTTGGAGAATATTACGAAGTCTCGTTATACATAATTACGTGACTGCTGCACTGAATCTAAATTCCACCTCAGTTCGTTTCTCAGTGGGCAGCCAAGAAGGAACACTGCCTAAATACAGCGGGGGGGGGGGGGGGGGGGGAGGAGGAGGCTGGCGGTTTTCTTGCCCCCCTGGTAGATACACCTGTGGGTCTACCTGAGCATTTTGTCGTAAATTCAAACGAACGAGACCTCCGACGTCTTTAAAAAACTTTTTTACAAAGATGAAACATTGGAAACATAAAGCGAAGCGTCTGCGTTCTTGAAATGTCAAAACTCTGTTATTTCCCTAAAAAACATAAGGAATGCTTGCATAGCTTTATTTGACGCTTGACGCCGGAAGCACTGCCGAACACCGATATTTAAGTTTAGCGCTGGAGCGGCAATTATGAGAGTTCGCAATGCTGAAAAATTTAGTGGAAATAGTTTTTTTATTATTAGCGCTTGACTTTTGTACGCAAGATATGTAAAACTCGACAGTCGATGAGTAACTACGACTCAGTACGCAAACACGGGGGCGTTCAAAAGTGCCGCATGCCACACGTGTGCATGATGGATATTAATTTGAATACTTTCGTTCGAAGGTGAAAACTTAACCTTGATGTGTAGTCTGGAATCAGACCCATGGTCTCGCTCTGCACACGAAGTCGCAATCTTTGAACCGTCCTGTCGAAAGAAGCGAACGGTATCTCCGCACTTGCCGATGACAAACTCAAGCCGAGACACTTTATCTCTGATGGCCCGGAATTCCAACACGATCACCGATTACGTCTTACGCTGATAGCCACGAAAAAAAGTGCGTGGCTCACTTCAGCCCACAACATTGGCGTGATTAGTTTGGTCTGGGCAGTGCACGAGTGGCGTGAGGGGTCAGTCACATAGTCAGAGGTATTGTCGCTCCCGATTATAGTAAGTGTCACGGGAGGCCGATGTCTTCTAAGCCAAGTCACGTCGTTGACGACATGCACAGGACCTGCGATAGAGAAGGTAGGTGCTAATTAAAATATCCTTCAAAATATACATGCGTGTAGCACGGTAAAGTGACCAAACTTTTTTTTCTATAATGAAAGAGAAAAATGAAAACTAAAGCAAATACTATAAGTTGCTTCTCAGTTAAGCTTGGCATTGAAGAATACAGAAGATTTTGCTATGACCCAAACAAAGTGTGACGCCGTGGAAATTAGCGTAGAGCTCCCAAAGTGTGGTATTCTCAAACATAGACTAGGTACAGACTATATACGATAGAAGAGCTCCCCGTAGCATAGAAGTTCCTATAAATACACTAAGGGGAACTCTAGCGCTAGGGTCTATGGGAGCTGCTACTACAGTGTACTGCTACGCACGCTGCTTCAGCGTGCATGGGGATGATGGGTAGTACACAAATTCGTATCTACAAACTTTCGGCTCCGTTCGGCTTCGCGGGACTTGGAACTGCTTTGTCACGAAACGATACGCAGCAAAGGTTAAATAGTTGCACTTTACCACTCTAACTTTGTCGGTTCACTCATTCAAATCGGGGGACAAAGCTTAAACCGGTCCTTCTAGTACTTGTAACAAATCCAAAACACGGGAATAAACAAAACACTAAGTGCATTCGAAACGTGGAAGCACGAAACCAAGGCGAATTAGTGTATTACTCATCATTCGTATTGTGGCTGACTGATCGCAGCGTCAGCGTCTCTTCTAGTTAATTTTAGGAAACTCTATGCTCCATAGGGCCCATGCATTAGAGATTTTTTTCCTCTCAAGAACCACTATGAGTCTACAGCCCCAAGGGCACCACCATTACCGCCATTTCGCTACCGTGTAAATGAGCGCCACCACCTCTTTAGACGCGTGCTGGGCTCTACGTGGGTGTTCATTTTTCATCGTAATTATTGAAAGTGAGCTCACGTGATGCAGTGTTGTAAGTACGCGTGAATAGAAAGTGCAGACGACGGCACACTGCGACGCACGGTTCAGTCAGGCGACGCGCCGTCGACGGCAATTTGGAACTCAAGTGGCTATGGCGGCCCCATCTATCAAAAGTGCGCGCAAGCCCATCTGGTTACGCCACGAGTCCATTGCAATTAAATTCCTGAAATAGCCTTGAATTTTCCCTGGAACTTTTCTAAGAGAACACTAAGCACTGCACGCACGTTTTAATTGATCAAAATTTCCATGTTTGATTTATATTACTTATATATCAACCGCTAATTTTAGCCAACATCTGAATAATTGCGCCCCGCCGAGGGGGTCTGGTGGTTAAGGTACTGGGCTGCTGACCAGCAGGTCACGGAATCGAATCCCGGCTGCGGCGGCTGCATTTGCGATGGAGACGGAAATGTTGTAGGCCCGTGTGCTCAGATTTGGGAGCACGTTAAGGTATCCCAAGTGGTCGAAATTTCTGGAGCCCTCCACTACGGCGTCTCTCATAACCATATGGTGGTTTGGGGACGTTAAACCTCACATATCAATCAATCAAATTTAAATAAGTGCAAGTTTAACTATGACAATGATACAGTAATGATGGTGGTCTTGCGGTCGGCGCTTTTGAGGCCCAACTTTTCATTTACAGTCTGTACTGACCATATGCTCTTAAACGTGGTAGCCATACAAAGGCTCATTAGAGCTTGATTTCTATAGATATCACGGTCTAAACTTTCAAAAGCGCCTGCTTAACCTCTTTTCAAGCGAGTGAAGGTTTCTCTTAAGATATCCCACGTCAGCTTGGTGGGTAATATGTCGCGCTTGGTGCATGTGTCCTAACTCCAGTCACGGCTGCCGCATTGCAACCAGACTCCAACGCAAGTACACTTGTGCATTAGATTTTGCTGCGCGTTGAATCAACCTCTGTCGTATGCCTGACAATTAGCTTGCGATCTTCGCGCATAAGATCACAGAATACTTTCTTTCAATTTAGCGTTGATTAGTAAAAATATAATTTCAGCAGCACGGAGAAGTCCACTTCAAAAGTAGAGCAAGCAAGCTAAATGATTATTAGTCACTAAGGAAGCATGAACTTATTGCACTAATCTAATCTGTCGTACCTGTTACCCAGTGCTACAGGCAAGAAACAGAAAGAAGCCCTACATGATGGTTGTCAGGGGCACTCCATTTGCGGGCTACTTCAATCGCGAGTACATCGAGTCTGCCATGGACTACGTTCATCGCAAGGGTGACCTCTTCATAGTGACCTACGTCAAGTGTGGGACCACATGGATGCAGCACATCGTGTACCTCATCCAAAACGATGGCGTACCTCCAGAAAATGCTGTAGAATTCTACAGGGCGTCGCCGTTCATCGAGGTCTGTGGAGCTGAATGCATGCAATGGGTAAAAACACCCGGTGCCGTCAAGACCCATCTACCGCTGCACCAGATACGCTACTCTCCCGAGGCCAAGTACATCGTCGTCATAAGGAATCCATTCGATGTCGTGGTGTCGATGCACCATTTCTGGTACATGATATCAGCGTACGGTTACGAGGGTGACTTCGATGACTCCTTCGAAAACTTCATGGACAATTACATCGAGAGTGGGGACTACTTTTCCTTTTACAGGGACTGGTACAAACGCAGCGCTGATCCTAACGTACTCTTCGTTGTCTACGAAGACATGAAGAAAGACCCTGAGGCGGCCATACTCAAGGTCGCAAGGTTCCTCGGACCTGAGTACGAGCAACGCCTGCTGGCCAATGACCGAAAGATTCTCAAGGACGTGATCAAGTACAGCAGCGTCGATGAGATGAAGAAGTACACCAACGATATGATACACAAGTTCTACGCAGCGGATTTCGCGTTCCAAGGACAGGAGTATGGAGGTCTACGTAAGCTACACGAAGTCGTGCACAATGGGTCTGCCACCTCCGCCGACAAGATAACTTACGTCCGCAAGGGCATGGTTGGAGACTGGAAGAATTACTTTTCTCCAGAACAGGCGAAGAGGCTGAAGGAGAGATTTCGACAGGAAACGAATGGCTCTGGTATGGCTCATTTGTGGCCTGATATGGGATTACACGAGTGAGAGGATGGAGGTGCATGATTTCAGTCATAAGTCTGTCGCAAGATACCGTGTCCTAGCATCACAGCTGTCGTGTAGGCAAACAAAAATGGACTTCACTTTTCATTTTTTTGTGACTGCTTCTGTGTCGTTTCCTGAGCGGTGGCTCAATCAAATCTACATTTCACTGCTAAGGCGACACCGAATCAATTCTGTAAAGCTTGTTAAGGATGCAAAAATTATGCACTTATGTTGTCCATAACCTCTCTATGTGTGAACACACTTCTGAGCACTTTTAGCAGGATAGTATTTTGCACATCAGGTATATGTATAAAAAGATTAGTCTGAAAAACCATTTTTAGAATTCAAAAATGACCACTAGAACTTATTTCGACGTATGCCAATGTCACAACCAACTACACGTTAACACCTAGGGACCGTGTTAAAGCGGAAGAACACGAATAAACTACGAAAACAAATATTACAGTGGCAAATTGCTAATCTCCTCAATGACGAATATGCGTTATTTAAATATTATAGAACGTTTGCTCTGCCAACATTGAGAAAAAGTCGAAACAACACTTTCCGGAAAATATTTTGTTTTGTTCGATTGCTACATCATGTTATTGATTTTCTTCTCAGTTATTCATTTGCTACTGTGTTCTCAAAAATATATCGATTTTATTAATTAAAAACAGTGCATCTATGCTTCTTTGTTTATTGTTTGTACTTATTTGGTCTATACATTTTTTTCTCAAGTTGTACTGAAAATCTACATTAGTAATTGCGCCATTTAGGTAGTACGTGTCCACATTTGTACATAGACGTGAGCGTGTGTGTTCTTTTTGCTTTCTTTCGTGCGGTTGTGCGCGGTTGTCTGCTGTACTCGTGGTGCTAGTAGCCTAGTCAGGCTGGCGTGACCATGCATTTTGCTCCAGCACTATAACGATTGATGTATCATGTATTGTCAGAACTGTAAGTAAACTTCAAACAATTTACCAACCGAGAAGTATCACATGACATTCCAACAACTTCATATGTTTCTCTGTATTGATTGCAGAAATTCCAAATATTTTATACATGGCTGCCTTATATTTCCGTAACTATTTTCCGGAAACATAAGAAATTATTGAGATGAAAAATGATGCACAATTCCACAAGAGTAACCAGGTATCGTAAGTTCTTCCACTAACGGTCCAATAACAGCGTCCTGACCCCGCCGCCCAGTTGAAGACACCGAGAAGGAATATCACGGCCGTCAAGAAACGCCAATTGTTCATAGCTCTCTTGACACCAGACTTCTTGTTTCAATGACACCTGAAACTATTCACTGCTATTCTACGTAACCGCTTATATATTATCAAGAAAACCGTGTCACGGGCACTTTAAGGCGTAAGATCAACGAATCGTAGGTAGGCTGCGTTAGCCTGTTCGATGGAAAGTAGTCCGTCTTGGGCTGAAGCACTCCTATAACTAAACTACTATTCCCAGTGGAGCAAGAATAAGACGGTGGTCCCACGAAAGTAATAACATACCAACGCGTTCAAAGGAAAAACACGGCGCACCTGCATTAACAAGCACCGTTTTCCTTCTTCGATTAGCCATGGACTCTACCACGAAAATAACGTCACTTCCTCGTAGGCAATACACTCCACGCATCGATGCGTCTCGTGGCAGTTTCTCGTTAGCTGAGGTCACACCAGTGCCGTACGAATCTCCCACCCTCCCCGCTCACTCTCCTCCGATATCTACCGCACATACCGCTAGGCATTCTGAGCGAAGAGCAGTGCAGAGCCAATCATCGGCCTTTATCACCGAAAGCGTAGCCAAAGTGTTTTTCTTTCACTGATCATTGTTTTCCCTTTGTCCTATTAGTCATTCGTTGGTCCAATCTACCTGTGACGACACGTGTGTATGCCCTCAGCAGATTAGGGACCCCCTCCCAGTGTCTGATACGCTCCGCTGCGCACTCACAACAAAGAAAGAACACCACTACGAGTACATCCTGTTTTTACGACAGCCAATACAATAACAAACATGCCTCACGGTAAAGCCGCGGACGACACGCGAGCGATGCAAGGTGAGAATTTTTATGTGTATTCAACAGGTTTGTACTGTCTTGTTATTTCTTGAAATTCTAAAGAAGCAGCATCGTTACAGGCAAGCCAGTGTCAAAATATTATTGTGTCAAAATATGAAAAAACGAGCCCTTAAGTACTAAGTATACACTTCTTTCCCATATATATATATATATATATATATATATATAAAGAGAGAGAGAGAAAGAGAAAGAAGTGTATACTTAAGGGCTCGTTTTTTCGTGTTTTTACACAGAATTCATTAGATCTAACAGACAATAATGCCAAGGAAAGTATAGGGGAAGATATTAGACCGAATTGTAAGGTAAATACGAAGAAAGAAAAGTGGTTGAAAAGATAACTTGCCATGGATAGGATCCGAACCTGCGACCTTCGATTGACGCGTTCGATGCTCTACCACTGAGCTACCACGTCAGCTATCCACCCAGCCACTTTATTGGGTTTATATGTGAATTTAAACGTGGGAGTGTCAGTCAGCGCCACCAATAGCCATGGCGGCGAGTGTGGCACACTCTTTTGAGCCTGTTTGGCGTCACGTAGCACGTGAACCTATTACGAGCAGGCAGCTGACCAATAGTCCCTCTATACAACCTAAAGGCACTAAGTCTGCCACTACGAGATCGTCATTAATGAATTAAGGAAAGAAGTGTATACTTAAGGTTTCGTTTTTTCGTGCTTTTACACAGAATTAATGAGATCTAACAGACAATAATGCCGAGGAAAGTATAGGGGAAGATATTAGACCGAATCGTAAGGTAAATATGAAGAAAGAAAATTGAAACTTCAACATTCAAAAATATGTTAATCTTCATGCGTGTCATATCTGGTCTTGATAAGAGGAAGCCAAAATTGACTTCGGGCTCTAGTAGCGCTTCAACTTCGCACTTCTCGCCTACATACTTCAGGCATATACTTCCACCCATCTGTTACAACTGTGCCTCCGCCTGTCAGTCACCGCGGAATTTGCGATATGACCAGAAATTGCAATGTTTTTGAAGTCGGCGTAGAATGCTTTCTCCCGCCTTATCGAGACTGTTGGCTCTACATAATTTTATGTCTAAGGAGCGGTGGTTGAGTGGTCCTTTACATGGGTCTCACATGAGGTACCCAATGAATGAGTGCTTGGGCTGTCGCGTCAGCGTCTTTGTTCCCTCTAAATCGCTGATGATCTGTGGTGCGTACAAAACGTGTTAGAGTAGGGACAGAGACCCTCATGCTGGAGTGCAGAATTTCGTAACGTTTCTGAGCGCAACTGGGACAGATAAAATTGCTACCAGTTAATTAGCCAATGCGTTAGTCAGGGTGTCCACGCAGAGCGTTGTTTTTCAGCAGAGTGATCACTTTTGCGAGGACATATTGTTGCTGGGAGATAACATCTTGCCAAATTGACAAAAGAACGAAAAGAAAAAAAACAACAAAACAGAGACTACTGAGATCAGTCTGCGTCGATCGCTTTTGAGTTACCAAAGACACTCGCGCTGCCATCCAACTACGCCTCAAAGCCGTTAAAGACAACTGCGGTTTGCTATAACGGCCATTGCAAATGCCTGCACAACAAAGGTGTTGTAGACTTTCACACATTGAAGGCCTATAACCTCTACACCATTAAGACAGATAGAGTGACTACATTAGACTTATTACGTGTCTTCAACTTATCACAATTTTCAGCGCGCAAATCTTGTATCGTGAGCTGCTTAAGATGTTATATCAAGCACAATAAATACTACATGCGGAAAATCAAATAATTGTACGTTCACAAAAAGGGCATGTTGCAACATGGCCTTAACAAATAACCGTACATAAATACTCGTACCTTATAGTGAAGCTTCATCACTGTTCAAAACAATGTGAACGTCTGAAAGCTTGTCAACGTGTTTCTGCTCACTGTGGTTAGCACGATTTTTTTTCCTTCCTCAACAATGAAACCAGTCGCCACGAATATTCACCCCGTCATGAATCTCGTTTCTTTTGTTAAATCTGTTTAAGCGTTACATCAGCTGTCCTAGGCCGAGTACGTCGGTAGAATAAGATTAGACTTTATGTCATATACTTACGGCGATAGATCGCATTGTAATTGCTCAGTTTTTCTGCAGTTATTACTAGCTACAGTTCCCTCCCCGAGATCCAAAAACCAGGCATATTTCAATGTATAGTTTGTCTGGCTTTATACAAAGCAATGCGGGGCCTCCAAAAAGTTTTCCACGCCCCAACCACTATGTGATTGTGGCCCATTGTAGTGCAGCAGTGGATATATGATGCCTGCTAGCAGACCCGAAGGCCGCAGGTTCGATCTCCGCTTCGGCGGTAGCATTTCGATGGAAACGAAATAGTAGAGGCCCATGTTCTGTGTGATGTCACTACACGTCAAAGAACACCAGATGATCAACTTTTTTGGGCGCCTGCTACTAGGACGTCTTTAAAAATCATATTTTGGTGTTGAGACGTAACACCGCGGATAGTATGATCACAGTACAATTATGATGAACGCCGTCGTGTGGGACCACTGATTAATTTCGACCACCTATAGGGTTCTTTCACGTGCGCCTACAGCGAAATTTCCAGCAAGCACCCCATATCCATTTTCGGGGGGTTCAAAATATGCGCCAGGGACTTAGGACTGCCTCGCGCAATGTTCTCCTAGACAAGTGTTCGGCAGATGAGGAGGCTACCAAATGTTCAGACTTCCCGCCTCATTTCTCGTGACTTCTGGGGCTCTACCGGCCCCTTCTGTTCTGGCGTGCAGCGCTGCTTTTCTTTTTTAAGGACTTTTTTTTAGTTTTGGTTATGTTCTAAATGACAACATCTGTTGTTTTTATTATTGCTTTCAAACAGGTGACCCAAACGTCATGATCAAGAAGCCACGTCATCAGATCGTCAGAGGCACCCCGTTTGCCACAGCTTTCCGTCGCGAGTGCATAGAGTCGGCCATGGACTACGTGCACAGAGAAGGTGACCTGTTCATCGTCACTTACATGAAGTGCGGTACGACGTGGATGCAGCACATCGTCTACCTGATCCAGAACGGCGGCGTGCCTCCGGCGACCGCGGCTGACTTTCACGCTGCGTCCCCGTACTTCGAGGTCTGCGGCTCCGAATGCCTGCGCTGGGGATCGGGGAGACCCGGTTCCCTAAAGAGCCACCTGCCACTGCACCAGACAGGCTACCGTCGGGAGGCACGCTACATAGTCGTGATACGCAATCCTTTCGACGCTGTCGTGTCCCTGCACCACTTCTGGCGCATGATCACGTCGTACGGGTACGACGGGGACTTCGACGACTCCTTCGAAAACTTCATGGCGGGCACCATCGACAGCGGGGACTACTTTGACTTCTACAAGGGTTGGTGCCGACACATCGACGATCCCAACGTGCTATTTCTAGTATACGAAGGAATGAGGAAGAACCCTGAAGCAGCCGTTCTGAAGGTCGCAAGGTTTCTGGGACCCCGGTACAAGGAAAGCCTGCTGGCCGATGACGGCAAGGTGCTCAAGGACGTGCTGAAGTACAGCAGTTTCGAGGAGATGAAGAAGTACACGAACAGAATGATCTACGACTTCTACCGAGAAGAGTTCCCGTTTCGAGGAAAGGAGTATGAAGGTCTGCGCTATCTACACGCAGTCGTTCGCGGAGGCTCCAGCTCAGCGCCTGCTGACGACTCCGGAAGTTCGGCCGACAAGATCGACTACGTGCGGAAGGGAGTGGTAGGAGACTGGAAGAACTATTTCTCCTCGGAGCAAGTCAGGCGTTTGAGCGAGAAGTGTCGTAGGGAAACACGCGACACAGTTATTGCTGACTTGTGGCCAGAGTTGAATATTGGCAGCCGAGAGAGATAATGGTAGAGAAGGAAAGGGAAATCAGCCAATCCAGGATAACCGGTTTGCTACCCTACACGTGGGAACAGGACGGGGGAGATCGAAAGAAGGTGAGGAAAGGAAGAAGAGAGACAGAATGATAGCACATCATACTGCATGTGCTTAAACACCTGGTCAGTAAGACTCCATCAATATGGCGTAGAAATGTGACATCACTATCACAGCCAAAGTTATTCAATCATATAGATAGCGCAAGTGAGCAGACTGTCGCGCCATATTTTGACAGGAAAACTAACTAAAACACGCAATATTCTGTGTTTTTGCGTTCAGCAGGATTGTGAGCCCCGCCGCATTCTGCCAAACAGCATGGCAGAGCCTATAACTTGTTCTTCGGCATGACCTCGTCTATGTTCATAGGTGAGTTGGTGCCTAAGAGTGCTGAGCATGTTGCTTTGACGCAGTGGTGGAGACGTGACAAAAGACAGAGGAGCTCCTTTTTCTCTTATTGTTCTGTCCTTTTTCACGTTTTCCGCATTGGGCTAGCAAGTAACGTGTGGCTATAGGCAGCGTGTTCTTGCGTTGAACGTGCTTTGTGTTATACTTACGTTGCGCAGAATTGGTCGCCGCTCAGTTTCATTGACCGAACAGCGTAATGGACGCTGCAGTGAAGTCGGTAGTTTACCAGATTCAAGTGGAGAGCCCACGATGTTTACATTCCGGCAAAATGACGAGTTGTAAGGCGTGAAGCAAGTGGGATGCAGTGTGATCCAGGTGGATCGAAACTGTAGGTCTGTCAATGGCAGCAGACGACGTTGCCCGAGAAGCGAACGCTGGTGCCTTCGGAAAGACTCCACGAGCATCGTACCTGAAAAGAAAGGAGCGCTTGCAGTGCTAGTTGCAAGTAAATAGGAATGTTCAATGTTCCCGCTTTTTTTGTCATCGTACTTTCATGATTATATGGTATCCCAGCCTGTGTTTTGTTGGTTTCGGGATTACTGGATTGCTACCGCTGCGCGCAAGGCAAAGCGGCCAACTCACGGTAAGTACAGATCGGTAGTGTTGTGCTTTAGTTCGAACTCTACCGTATCAGTGTCTTGTTTGTGCGACAGTCATTCACGTCGTGTTTGTGGGACACATCGTGAAACGCAGAGCGGAACGCTCAGAGGATTTGTCATCTCAAACTTCCCGCAAGCAATCTGTCTCTAGCGCACGCTTTCAAACGAGGAGTAACAAATAATCAGGGCGCCGCGTTATAACCATGCAATGTAATGATAAAACTTTATTTCAGTCCAGCAGAATGCGCTTAGCGCGTAGCAGGCGTATCCCACGTAGGGACTGATAGGTAGTATACCTGGCCGCCGCTTCGTGGGCCTGCTGGACGGACCATTGCTGGTCGGCGAGAAGTGAGCTCCTGAGGGACCATTTGTTTAAGGTAGAGTCGGGAGGAGTGTTTCTGCACTCCCAGAGCATGTGTTCGCGTGTCGCTGTGTGTCCAAATGAGAGGCATATGTCACTTGGGTAAGCATCAGGATAATAAACGTGAAGCTTGGCAAGGTTTGTGTACGTGTGTGTCTGTAATAGGCGTAGGGTTAGCGCCTGCGGTATGTTAAGTTTCGGATGTGGGTGTGGAAGACTGCGGTGTTCAAGGTAAAAGTGCTTTTTTATGTCGTTCTACGTAATGGCTGTATCCCGATTGGTCTCTAACTCGTGCACCATGGCGCGTAGCAGGTGCGTCCACTGCTAAAGGCTCAGAAACGCATTAAACACATTAAGCGCACTAAAAACGAGAAAATACACGCTTTCGCAGGCTACGGCGCGCATGCTCCCAATTCAAACGCTCTATAGATCTTCAATACCATGAGACTACAGCGCCGCCGCTACTGTCACCCGCCGGAGAATCAGCTGAGATACGGTGCGGCTGCCTCGTTCATTCCACTGCCACCTTCTAGTACGCTGTAGACGTGCAAGGCAGCGCCATTGAGACGACAACGCCATTGTTGCATGCGGCGTTGATCAGCCTATAAAAAGCGCACGCACTGGTGACGATCCAGTGTTTTGTATTGTCGCTCCAAGATGGAGCGACGGTCAGTTCACTACCGACAGTCAGCAAGGTCGGCCAAGGCCATGTCCACTTTCGCAACTCATATGACTGAATAACTCTGTATCAAAGCCGCTTGACCAGGTTAGTTTTTTTTTAAAAACCTCAGCAGTTTTTTTTGGTCCCCTTCGTCTGCAATATCTTTAGTCGACGACATGCTAAACGAATTTCACAGACATTTGTCTACTGTGAAGGCGCGCTATAGACCAGACCGGACAATGGTGAAGGCTCTTCTCGTGTCTTGTAAATGTTCCATTATGGGTATTTCATAGCGAGTTATTCATTAATAAGCGTTCCACCCAGTGCGCTTATGTGGAAAGTGCAGATACATCTTCTAAGACGTGGTTATGTGTGTTGTGATCTTTTTTTGTGTGTGTGTGAGAAGATAAAGTGACCATGAAATGAAATTCAACGTACCAAATATTTAGTTTGGAACACGCGCTAAAAGACTAACAAAGCATTGTCGAAGGGCACGCAAGAAAGAGAGCCGCTGACGAAACACCACATCGTCATGAGTTCTGACACCAGACCCATACGGCAAAATCCCCATTGCGTCGTCCCAAAAGAGCGTGAGGTAATTCAAAAACAAGTGAAAACGATGCTGCAAGATGGCGTTATTCGGCCATCTAACAGTCCATTGCCATGGCCTGTCGTACTCGTCAAAAAGAAGCACGGCAGATTGCGTTCCTGCGTCGACCACCAGCATCTCAATCAGATCACAAAAAAGTACGTCAATCCTTTGCCGCGTATTGATGATTCATTGAATATACTACGAAACACACGCTACTTTTCGTGAATGGCTTTGAATAGCGAATACCGGCAAATTGAAGTGGATGAGAGAGATCGTGAGAAGACCATCTTTGTCTTTTTATGAATTTCAGCTACTTCGTTTCTGTGTGTGTTCGGCGCCAGCAACATTTCAGCGTCGTGTCTGATGGGCACATTTACCGTCAAGACTTAAGTGGCAAACGTGCTTGGTGTACCTTGAGAACGTGATTGCCGTTTCTGCGACATTCGAGGAACACTTACAAAGGCTCGAAGCAGTTTTAGAAGCGATATGCTTGGCCGATCCTACGCTAAAACCTGAAAAGTGCCACTTCGGGTTCCACAAACTTCAATTTCTCGGTCACGTCGTAAGCAGCCAGTGGATCCGACTCGACCCCGATAAAATGGCTGCCGTGGCGAAATTCCTGGCTCCATCAGACAAAAATCAGTGCTAAGTGTTTTTAGGATTCTTATTTGTTTTTAGGCGCCCATTACCGGTGGGGTATTGGTAGTTTTTCACGCATCGCATGGCACACACCTCGCCAGGAAAATATCCCCTTCACATAAGGCGAAGACCAGCAGCGGGCATCTTAAGAGCTTCGTCAGCGCATGCATACACCTCCCGTGCTCGCCCTCTTCAATGAAGACGTGTCAACAATACTGCTACATACGGACGCTAGTATAATGTTGGCATTAGAGCAATGATCGTGCACTCGCAGGACGACCACGAAAAGGGGATTGCCTACGCCAGCAGGTCACTCTCCAGAGCAGAAGTTCACTACACTACGACAGAGAAAGAATGTCTCACAATGGTATGGGTAGCCCTGAAGTTTCGTCCTGATTTGTACGGTCGCCCATTCATCGTTATCAGTGATCGCTACTTGCCGAGTTGGTTAGTCAACTTGAACGATTGATCTGGCCATCTTGCTCGCTGAAGTATTCGACTCTAAGAATTTGACTGTTGCCTACAAGCCGAGAAAACGATGCATCGATGCCGACTGTCTTTCTCGGGCTCCTGTTGAGACGGCAGCCCGGAACTACGACGACGATGACACCGCCTTTTTGGGAATCGTGGACACTGTCGCCGTTTCTCAACAGCAGCGGGACGACGCGGAACTGCTACTACTCGTAAATTACCCAGAAGGACGAACGAATAGCGTGCCGAAGTTCTTTGCGAAAGGGCTGGCGTCGTACTGCCTGCACGACATCGGCAAAATTTTCAACTAAACGGTGGAAGCAAGAACAGAGGCCCAAGAAACTGCGAACGCCTCTAGCAATATCCATGTTGGTGTTGACATTGTTAGGCAACTGCAAACCACTGCTAATTATAATAGCTTGCGGCTGTTTAACGTATGTGTGGGCGTGGATGTGTAAATGCGTGCCTCTTTTTTACTCTTTACTGTACATGCTGAGCTGTAATACTGTCTATTCAACCTTTTACTTTGAAATCGTTTCTTTTCTTTTGTATTTTTCTCAATTTGATATGTATATGTACATATAATTTGTACATATAAATAAATATGTTGAGCGCCACTTCCTAACGTCTCGCTCAACAAAAAAAAAAATTGCAGCATATCCACGGAGTGAATGATAGAGAGTGGGGTGAAGCATCCGTCCGTCCATTCGTTCTTGTTTCCGTCCGTCCATGCGTTTATCTGTGTGGCCGCCCGTGCGTCCATCCGCCCGTCCGCGCGTGCGTCCGTGCGTGCGTCCGCACGTCCATCTGTGCGTCCGTCCCTGCATTTGTCCATGCCTCCGCTCCTGCGTCCGTCCAAGCGTTTATCCGTCCGTGCAGCCATCCGTGCGTCCATCCATGCATCTGTGTGTGTGTCCATTCGTCCACCTATTCAACACTTTAAGTCCCACCATCTCGCCTCTTTTCATAATATATTTCTCATATAGAAGCACCGCCATCCAGCGGACATTCCGAGGACTGAACGAGAGGAGGCACACGCACACTTTCTTGCGGCTTGCGCTTCGTGTCTACTTCCAACCTTTAACTACCTCGAGTTCATGGTATACACTAGTTCACTGTATTCATGGCACTGCGGCCCAACGCTCGCTAAACCTTTCTAAAACGAAGGAGGTTACACCCAGCGAGTATAGCGTAGCAGCCCTTTCTTGTCAGATAGTGCTCAATGTACATGCCAATGGCTGTTAAGGGGGAATGAGAGACAGGAGAATTCGGCTTTTAGTTAACGTGCACGCTGCGAATTTTCCATTATTCAACAACGCACGGAAGAAATCTCCCACCGGCACCACCTTGGAGGTCAAAATGTAACACGTGTTACACACTACTACTACGACTGCGAGGGACAAACGACTGCCGCCATAAGAAGCTTCGCCCCTAAAAAGAAAATACTTTCACATTCCATCCGCATGCTTCGCATAATATTGATTCGCAAGGCACGTGGGATCTGCCAGTTTTTTCTTTTTTTTTTTTTGCAACAAGCGAGCATTTTGTGTGTGTGTGTGTGAAACCACAGACACTTTCAAGAATGTGCTGACGTATAGCCGGCTTTCTTTTTTTCTGTAGCTGTAGCTGAAGGCCTCGGTGCCTTTTATTGTAGCTAGGCTCGGCAGCCTAGCTATAGTGAACTAGTTCACTGAACGCTATAGCACAGGCTAACTAAAATAGAGAGTCTAAATTGGTATAGCGGGAAACAGCAAAGTCAAGGATCTAACGTTAGCGTTAGCGTTGCGTATTCCAAACTGAGCAGGGGCAGAATGTTAACGTAGCCTGAGCTTTAAGCACGAACGCAATCCGCAATTTCCGGAATGTAGCGTTCAACGCTAACGCACGCAAGATATCCTGTACGCAGAACAAGATTGCGGTGGTTGTTGAAGCGAGTGCCGTCCACTTCAAACTTATATATATATATATATATATATATATATATATATATATATATATATATATATATATATATATATATATATATATATATATATAATGGGATCTAACAGACAAGAATGCCAAGAAATGTATAGGGGAAGTTATTAGAACCAATGTCAAGTATATAGGAAGAAAGAAAAGTTGGTGAAAAAATAACTTGCCGTTAG